TACAGTGGGGAAAAAAAGTATTTAGTCAGCCACCAATTGTGCAAGTTCTCCCACTTAAAAAGATGAGAGAGGCCTGTAATTTTCATAATAGGTACACGTCAACTATGACAGACAAATTGAGAAAAAAATTCCAGAAAATCACATTGTAGGATTTTTTATGAATTTATTTGCAAATGATGGTGGAAAATAAGTATTTGGTCACCTACAAACAAGCAAGATTTCTGGCTCTCACAGACCTGTAACTTCTTCTTTAAGAGGCTCCTCTGTCCTCCACTCGTTACCTGTATTAATGGCACCTGTTTGAACTTGTTATCAGTATAAAAGACACCTGTCCACAACCTCAAACAGTCACACTCCAAACTCCACTATGGCCAAGACCAAAGAGCTGTCAAAGGACACCAGAAACAAAATTGTAGACCTGCACCAGGCTGGGAAGACTGAATCTGCAATAGGTAAGCAGCTTGGTTTGAAGAAATCAACTGTGGGAGCAATTATTAGGAAATGGAAGACATACAAGACCTGATAATCTCCCTCGATCTGGGGCTCCACGCAAGATCTCACCCCGTGGGGTCAAAATGATCACAAGAACGGTGAGCAAAAATCCCAGAACCACACGGGGGGACCTAGTGAATGACCTGCAGAGAGCTGGGACCAAAGTAACAAAGCCTACCATCAGTAACACACTACGCCGCCAGGGACTCAAATCCTGCAGTGCAAGACGTGTCCCCCTGCTTAAGCCATTACATGTCCAGGCCCATCTGAAGTTTGCTAGAGTGCATTTGGATGATCCAGAAGAGGATTGGGAGAATGTCATATGGTCAGATGAAACCAAAATATAACTTTTTGGTAAAAACTCAACTCGTCGTGTTTGGAGGACAAAGAATGCTGAGTTGCATCCAAAGAACACCATATCTACTGTGAAGCATGGGGGTGGAAACATCATGCTTTGGGGCTGTTTTTCTGCAAAGGGACCAGGACGACTGATCCGTGTAAAGGAAAGAATGAATGGGGCCATGTATCGTGAGATTTTGAGTGAAAACCTCCTTCCATCAGCAAGGGCATTGAAGATGAAACGTGGCTGGGTCTTTCAGCATGACAATGATCCCAAACACACCGCCCGGGCAACGAAGGAGTGGCTTCGTAAGAAGCACTTCAAGGTCCTGGAGTGGCCTAGCCAGTCTCCAGATCTCAACCCCATAGAAAATCTTTGGAGGGAGTTGAAAGTCCGTGTTGCCCAGCGACAGCCCCAAAACATCACTGCTCTAGAGGAGATCTGCATGGAGGAATGGGCCAAAATACCAGCAACAGTGTGTGAAAACCTTGTGAAGACTTACAGAAAACGTTTGACCTGTGTCATTGCCAACAAAGGGTATATAACAAAGTATTGAGAAACTTTTGTTATTGACCAAATACTTATTTTCCACCATAATTTGCAAATACATTCATTAAAAATCCTACAATGTGATTTTCTGGAATTTTTTTCCTCATTTTGTCTGTCATAGTTGACGTGTACCTATGATGAAAATTACAGGCCTCTCTCATCTTTTTAAGTGGGAGAACTTGCACAACTGGTGGCTGACTAAATACTTTTTTTCCCCACTGTATACACAGTGGGGAGAACAAGTATTTGATACACTGCCGATTTTGCAGGTTTTCCTACTTACAAAGCATGTAGAGGTCTGTAATTGTTATCATAGGTACACTTCAACTGTGAGAGACGGAATCAAAAAATCCAGAAAATCACATTGTTTGATTTTTAAGTAATTAATTTGCATTTTATTGCATGACATAAGTATTTGATCACCTACCAACCAGTAAGGATTCCGGCAGACCTGTTAGTTTTTGTTTAAGAAGCCCTCCTGTTCTCCACTCATTACCTGTATTAACTGCACCTGTTTGAACTCGTTACCTGTATAAAAGACACCTGTCCACACACTCAATCAAACAGACTCCAACCTCTCCACAATGGCCAAGACCAGAGAGCTGTGTAAGGACATCAGGGATAAAATTGTAGACCTGCACAAGGCTGGGATGGGCTACAGGAAAATAGGCAAGCAGCTTGGTGAGAAGGCAGCAACTGTTGGCGCAATTATTAGAAAATGGAAGAAGTTCAAGATGACGGTCAATAATCACCCTCGGTCTGGGGCTCCATGCAAGATCTCACCTCGTGGGGCATCAATGATCATGAGGAAGGTGAGGGATCAGCCCAGAACTACACGGCAGGACCTGGTCAATGACCTGAAGAGAGCTGGGACCACAGTCTCAAAGAAAACCATTAGTAACACACTACGCCGTCATGGATTAAAATTCTGCAGCACACGCAAGGTCCCCCTGCTCAAGCCAGCGCATGTCCAGGCCCATCTGAAGTTTGCCAATGACCATCTGGATGATCCAGAGGAGGAATGGGAGATGGTCATGTGGTCTGATGAGACAAAAATAGAGCTTTTTGGTCTAAACTCGCCGTGTTTGGAGGAAGAAGAAGGATGAGTACAACCCCAAGAACACCATCCCAACCGTGAAGCATGGAGGTGGAAACATCATTCTTTGGGGATGCTTTTCTGCAAAGGGGACAGGACGACTGCACCGTATTGAGGGGAGGATGGATGGGGCCATGTATCGTGAGATCTTGGCCAACAACCTCCTTCCCTCAGTAAGAGAATTGAAGATGGGTCGTGGCTTCCAGCATGACTACGACCTGGAGTGGCCTAGCCAGTCTCCAGACCTGAACCCAATAGAACATCTTTGGAGGGAGTTGAAAGTCCGTATTGCCCAGCGACAGCCCCGAAACCTGAAGGATCTGGAGAAGGTCTGTATGAAGGAGTGGGCCAAAATCCCTGCTGCAGTGTGTGCAAACCTGTTCAAGACCTACAGGAAACGTATGATCTCTGTAATTGCAAACAAAGGTTTCTGTACCAAATATTAAGTTCTGCTTTTCTGATGTCACAAATACTTATGTCATGCAATAAAATGCAAATTAATTACTTAAAAATCATACAATGTGATTTTCTGGATTTTTGTTTTAGATTCCATCTCTCACAGTTGAAGTGTACCTATGATAAAAATGACAGACCTCTACATGCTTTGTAAGTAGGAAAACCTGCAAAATCGGCAGTGTATCAAATACTTGTTCTCCCCACTGTATATATATATATAGCCAAGCAGACCCAAGCTGTACTATACTGGCCGGGTTACGCATCCACCATAGTTGCTTGAACCGTGTTGAAAAGGACAATGTGAAAAGAAAATACAGCCAGCACAGGGTGATTTCTCCACTCTGTCAATTAAAGACTTTCTTTTATTTGGTGTTGTAAGATAAAACTACATGAAATTCCCAAGCAGACATTGTCCAGTCATTCCTCTCTCTCCCCTCTCTCACTTTAATACTGTGTGTTCAATAATAAGCACTTATAACCCATTGGAGGTATAGTGTGAACTGAGATACAATCAAGCATGTAATAACATGTAGAAACACATCAACAGTGTAGCCGAGACCACGATGGACACGGTAGACTCCACGACAGAAATGACAGACATACATATCAACCAATCACACGTCTCCTACCTCACACCTCCTCCCTGAACCCACCTGATCTGGGGTGCTATTCAATCAAAACAGTGCTCCAGGTTTCCGCAGGTAAGACAAAAATTACCTTCCTCTTTTGAAACATAATGTTTGAGTTATAATACTGATCAGTTTCTTTCTGTTCCACACACTGAATTTATTTTTCATACATTTTATCGTACCCAGGAAACTTGGAAAGCGTTTCCTCCCCAATTTCGTGATATCCAATTGGTAGTTACGGTCTTGTCCCATCGCTGCAACTCCCGTACGGACTCGGGAGAGGCGAAGGTCGAGAGCCATGTGTCCTCCGAAACACGACCCTGCCAAGCCGCACTGCTTCTTGACACACTGCTCGCTTAACCCGGATGCAAGCCGCACCATTGTGTCAGAGGAAACACCATACAACTGGCGACCGAAGTCAGCGTGCATGCGCCTGGCCCGCCACATGGAGTCGCTAGAGCGCAATGGGACAAGGACATCCCGGCCGGCCAAACCCTCCCCTAACCCGGACGACGCTGAGCCAATTGTGCACCGCCTCATGGGTCTCCCGGTCACGGCCGGCAGCCTAGAATCGAACCCGGGTCTGTAGTGACCACTGCACCACTCAGGAGGCCCTGGAAAGCGGTTTTGATTGAATGCTGTTCCCATCTTGGACATGTCTCTGGGGGACAGACAGGACTGGTCATGGAGGGTATCGTTGTGGAGGAAGGGACAGAGGGACGGATGGAGGGACGGTACAGTTGGGACAGTATTAAGGTTTTGGTGTCTCTTGTTCCCTGTTTTCCCTAAAAGCTTGAGAGCAGCAGAGTGGTGTGGTCCAGGGGACAGGGACAGGGGCGCCACGCACCGATGGACGTCCCCAAACCTCATTATGTTATTCATAAAGTAAAAGGCACTTCAAAAACTCTTAAATTCCAGTGTATTGTATATATAATATAATGTCTCTTTCATTCGCTCTCTCTATCTCTCTCATATATATACTGTATGTATACAGACACACAAGATTATATAGGAAGGAATGCAAAGATGGAGGAGTATAAACACTAGACATTGTATATATATAATAATATAATATATATATATGTGACCTTTTAAAATAGTTTGGAGACAGCTGGTTATAATATTGGATGTAGTACAAAAGGAAGGAGTGGTGATGAGAAGCTACTCGTAAGGAGAACTCGTAAGGTTTGAGGTTCTCGTGGAGTGCGGAGAGGAACTCGTGGCAAAAGGTTTCAGTTGCTCTGCAGGAAGCAAACTGAAGGAGTTGCATAGGCAAGAAATAACGTGGTTCCTGATTAAATGTATCATAACAATAACACAGATCGGTGTAACAAAAGAACTCAACCAAACAAGCAAATAGAAATTAAACACGAATAATAACAGAGACAGTGAGGTAACTATCCAACTTTTGCAGCAAAAAAGCGGTTTTAAGTCAAACTTAAAACGGGCCGGCTTCCGAGTCAGCAGCGGATTGGTGCAGGGTCAGACGAGGGGGGCGGAGCCCCGCTGGAATGGAGAGTGTGTTCATGTGCGCTGAGCTGAGTCAATCAGAGCAGGGCTCAGCAGTGTGTGGGTGTCTCTGTCAACCAGCCCTGTTTCTTGTTACTATAGGGTATTAAGGGGTATTCGGGGGTCCAGGAGAGAAGGGGCACTACAGTTTAGTGTGGTAGGGTGGTAGGTGGGCGTGTAGTAGTGCTACACTTCAGTCAGTGTCCTGGTATTTCTGGTTGTTAGTAGTGTAGTCTACAGTTCTGTGTCCTGGTATTTCTGGTTGTTAGTAGTGTAGTCTACAGTTCTGTGTCCTGGTATTTCTGGTTGTTAGTAGTGTAGTCTACAGTTCTGTGTCCTGGTATTTCTGGTTGTTGGTAGTGTAGTCTACAGTTCTGTGTCCTGGTATTTCTGGTTGTTGGTAGTGTAGTCTACAGTTCTGTGTCCTGGTATTTCTGGTTGTTGGTAGTGTAGTCTACAGTTCTGTGTCCTGGTATTTCTGGTTGTTGGTAGTGTAGTCTACAGTTCTGTGTCCTGGTATTTCTGGTTGTTGGTCTGGTAGTAGCCTCTCTTGGTGTGGTCTGCCAGCTGGCGTCGGCACTCTTCCTCTTCCTCTTCGCTGGGGTAGAACCCACGACTCTCCGAGTATGGCAGCTTGGAGGGAGGGGTCTGGGGCTCGGGACGCGAGCTGGAACTGAACACACACACACACACAGACGCACACACACACGAACACACATAAATATACAATACTCACACCCAATATATTCAGTGAAAATCCACACATGCAAATGAATATAGAGCACAACGGAAAGTGGACAGACGTAAAACAACACATTCACGGTATGAATGGGTAAAGACACTCCCATGTTGTGTTCCTACCCTATAGGCTGAGGCCGGCTGTGATCCAGTTTTTGGGTCTTCACAGGGACAGCATAGATGTCTGGGTGCTTCTGAGCTATCTCCAACTGGACAGAGACAGACATTAGTATGATGCTTTGATGACAACAGACTAGCAGACACAAACTCTTTCTCTCTCACACGCACACACATTCAGAGGCACACACCCACCAACCCACCCTGGCGTTCTGGGCCTCCTGCAGCTCCAGCATCCTCTGAGCACGTGCAAAGTGGTCCATCTTCTCAAAGGCCTTGATCTTCCCCAGGAACGACTTGAGGCTGGGGTCCTCAGGGCTCTCCCCTGGCTGCTCCGGGCCCCTAAAGCCTGTTGTGTATGGGGCTGTGCTGCTGGTGGTGTCCTGGGTATTATAGGAGGGTTTGAGGGCGATGGGGGGAGGTGCCAGGGGCTTGGCCTTGCCGAAGGAGTTGAGGGTGCGAGGGAGAGGAGGGGGGTCGCTGGCAGGGCTGGAGGAGTGGGAGTCGTAGCCTCGGCTGGGGGGGGGCTCGTACGACCCTATAACCCCCCTGGGAGGGACTACCTCGTCCCTGAACAGCAGCTTTACCTGAATGGGGTAGGGAGGGAGGGGGACGGGGGGTGGACCAGCATAGAATTAGAATGAATCAAATCATTTTGATTTGATTCAGTCAATGAAATCATTCTATTTCTATGGGGACCAGACAGGGTCAGTCACAGATCCGCAACTCAAACATTTGTGTACGTGAATAGGAGATTTGTGACTAGAAAAACGTAAGAGACGCTTAAAGAAATGATCATTAACTTTAGGCTTCCGCCCTCATTACCTCACTGTTGATTTACAACATAAAAGAAGCTTCAAGTTATACTTTCCCAAACAGATTCGTAACAGAAGACAATGTTGAATACCACATTTTGATAGACGACACTGACCAAACCACGGACACCTCTTTCTCTACAACACTTTAAGAGTTCAAAACACAGGTAGCCTACACTACTCTAGAATATCTGTTCAACTATATACTATTAATGACTATGAGGTTTCACGAACGCTGGACCCTTCTATCACCACAGGGAATTTGGGGAGTTACTTCTTGTTAATTAGGTACCAGAGTGGTCCAATGAGCTGCCGTTGGAGGAATCCGAGCCGGGGTGGGCGTGGTTTCTCCAGATCAGACCATTCTTCAGAGAGAAGGGGAGTTTGCTTCTTCTGATTGAGTTAAAGAGCTAAGGGGTGATGGAGGTTTCAAACATTCAAACGTAAGTGGATGTTTGAAAGCTACCGGGGATCCTGTACTTATCTACCCCAAAAACCACACAGTTGCCCAAAAATCTGATGCTCACTACCGGTTGACTTTATGTTGCCAAAGATGGTCAAAGTGAATATAAGAGGAATTTGTATGTGCGTGTGTCTCTCTCACCTTGGGGGGGTCAGGTACAAATGCTGGAGGTGGGCTGGCACTGCTGCCCACCCTCCTGACGCCACCACGGATCTCTGGACTGCACCTGCGCAGGATCTGACCCCACAAACACATATACACACATAGGACAGGGTCAACAGGAAGTACCATGCAGGTTTACAGGCTGGGTCAAGGGTCAACCATGCTGATTATTGAAGGGTCATATGTTTTAATTATAGAGAGGTTGTGTAACATCTGCATAAACCAGGTGCATAGAAGTAATTGTCATGGCATCTGGTTGCTAAGGGGAGGAGAGGAAGTTATACTGTACATGCAGTTAGTAGCCTATGTAATACTGTTATACACTCCTACCCCTGTGGGACACACACACACACACACACACACACACACACACACACACACACACACACACATATTTTAAGATCCTTGCACAGCCATACAAAATCATATAGTTCCCTAATGAAATGATACATCTATAACCTGTGTTTCCAGTCTGTTTTTAACTACTGTACTAGAGAGAAACTGGCCGGAGGGCTATTATCATAATGCTGAATGGCCTCTATTTAAAAAACAGTTTTGCTAAAGTGCTTCTGACACATTGGGTTCCTGAAACAACCCAAACAAATGCTAACCAGATGGTATTGATTTTGGTCATGTAGGCCTACATTGGACTGGAGATATCATAGGTGTAATGGCGTGTTTGAACTGTAGAGGGCAGAATAGATTCTTATAGCTCTGCATATCACCAAGGCTGTGAGGCTAGGACATCACAATCCATCTTATGGGCTGCATGTGCGTGTTTGTTGCTAACCGTGTGTGTGTGTGTGTGTGTGTGTGCGTGTGTGTTGCTAACCGTGTGTGTGTGTGTGTGTGTGTGTGTGTGTGTGCTTATCGCTGTGTCTCTCTAACCTCCTCTGCCAGCACGGGCTCAGAGGAGCGGCTGATAGCGGATACGTGCAGTTGGTCAGCCGGCTCGTTGTCCAGCTCGTTATCCGTGTAAGCCCCGCCCTCGTCCGCCGTGTCATCGTAGTCGCTGGCCAATCGGCTGTCCATGCTCAGGTAGTCGGCTGACATGGCTGACAGGTAAGACATGCGGTCGTCATGGAGATCAAGGTCCATCTCCGTCCCGTCCAGCTAAAAGAGACACATGATGGATCTTGGTGTACAGAGAGGAAGCAGAAACAAAAACAAAAACAAAGAAAAGAAAAGAAAGAAGAACCGAGCTGTAGAGCACCAGTGGTAGAAGGATTCACACACAGTGAGCATGCTCACAACACAGGACTCAGGAAATAGAGCAAACAACTTTTCACCATCTTAAAAGTGATAGAAAAGTCTGAGTACAGTATGAAGAAACTAGACTAAGTATATAGTAGCATCAAGGGAAATCGTTAAGATGGACTAGTACACAGAAGTTTACAGAAATAGCTTGATAGGAAGGAAGAGTGAATACAATATAGACTTGAAGTAGACAGTAAGAACATTCTAGAGAACATGATTGAAACATGTACATAATATACAGGGTGGAATAGTACAAGAAGTATAGAAGAGGATAGGAGTGTAGCAGACTATACCCACTGGGCACAGACGTCAATTCAATGTCTATTCCACGATGGTTTAACATCATTTCATTGAAAGGACCTGGAAACAACGTTGATTCAACCAGTGTGTGCCCAGTGGGTAGCATGTATAGAGTAGAGTATAGTATATTATAGGGGTGTGACCGTTCGTAAGAAAAAATCCCTAACCGAAAAACATTGTGGTTGTTTTTGTTCACAATATTTTAAAATCACAGTGCAGTTATCACAAAACTGAATTCATGATAACACTGTCGTGATTTGGCAAAGAATGTAGCTTGTCTACAGTTCGGTTTGTGTATTCCATCAGTTAGATACGTTTACATAGGCAGTCATTTCTGTAGGCCTAATGGGAGCTTGGGTGCGCAGCACGCATGTGTGTATAGGGAGCGGTCGGATCGAAATCAAGTGAGACACACGTAACGGAGGTAAAAGAAAATGGAAGGAGAAGAACTGTGATCACTTGGTTACGTTTATTTTTTGATGCGAGTCGCTAATGCTCATAACAAATGGAAGGAACACTAGAGTCAACGTGAATTAACGGTAGTCTTCGGAACAAAATTTCACCTGCCCACTCTGGCAGCCACAAAGCAGATTCCAGATAAATAAGCCTAATGTATGACTGTGGTAGGAATTCATTTCCCTCTAGTGGTAATACCATGCAGTAAGATTTCATGTGGAATTTTATAAAATGTTTTAACGGAAAACAGATAAGAAAATAGCAGTTGAAACGTTACAAAAATGTTTCAATTTGTCACATCCCTAGTATAGGATAATATAGTAAAGTACAGTATAATATCATACAGTACATTATAGTACAGTATAGTATCCAGTGTATGAGCTCTGTATGGTGAGTATTTTTACCTTCCCCTCAGACACCCATACAGCCTGAGTCTGCTGCTCCCTGATAGAGTCCTTCACACTGCCGTACCACGCATCATTGGCAGAGTTCACATCAATAGTAGCTGTAGGGAGGAGGGCGGAGTGAGGAGGAAAAGGGAGGGAGGGAGAGAGGAGGAGAGGGGGGGGGAAAGAGAGAGAGACAGAGGAAGTTGAGAGATAATTAAAGAGAGGGGGAGCGAGAGGAAGGGGAGAGAGGGGGAGAGCAGAGAGAGGGAGAGAAAGAGAGTGGGAGAGAAGCGAAAGAATGGAAGAGAAGAGAAAGAAGGGTGAGAGAGAACAGCAGGACGGATGAGAAGAGACCGAGTAGAGAGGGGGAGAGAGGGAGGGGGTGTAATGGCACAAAAAAGAGATACAACAGATTATCAGGAAATGCAGGAAAATAACTATCTTGTGTTCTATATTTGGCTGTTTAACTGTTTGTTTATTGACGTTAGGGACTCGATAGGCGTCTACAGAAACAGGGGTTTAACATGAATCACTGGCCAACTAGAGGACTGTGTGTGTGTCAGATAGTCATTGAGAGAGAGTGAGAGAGAGCGAGAGAGAGCGAGAGCGAGAGAGAGAGAGAGAGAGAGATCAACTCACTGGCCAACTACAGTATATGGAATATGGACACTCCTGAGGGTGGTAGCCAAAAGTAAATGGTGTGTGTATGCATGTGTATCTGTGCGCGTATCTCTGTGTAACTGTGTGTGTGTGGCGGATCCATATGTGTGACTAACCAGTGAATAGGTGAGAGCAGGTCTTTCTCAGTTTGACAGCCTGTTCATATAGTTTTCTAGCGCTGCGGTTGGACCCAGGTATCACCCTCTGCCTCATGGCCTTAACCCCTGGTTTATTGTCTGGGTTGAAGAAGATGACGATGGGGTACCACTGGGTGTAGTTCAGAGTGTCCACCGCCTTGGGAGTCACATCCAGCAGGGCATGCTTGTCCTACAGGGGACATGATGGGGGACAGTGATTGAATGGAGAGAGAGAGAGAGAGAGAGACAGATCGAGGGGGACAAAGAGAAAGATAGATAGATCAGTGGTTCCCAACCTTTTTTGAACCGTGGCACGCCTTGATGGGATAAACATTTGTGGCACACCTACAATTTCTGTATCAATTTATTAACTGGTAATTACCTCTTATCTAACTCATACTGCAAATCAACTATTTACTGTGACAAACGCTTTTTGATAGATTAAATAGCCTAGGGTTTATTTATTTTTTGAACTGCATTTGGACCTGCATTTTGATTCTAGTTTATTGATATGTGTGAAATGCACCACCAACACGTTCTGCTATTTTAAAGCCAATTTCCTGCAATTCTACAATGTTAAACATGACATATTTTGGATGGTAGACTATTTAATGATAATAATGATGGGAAAATTAAGTCTAGTCTCGATTTGACATCATTTCCCTAACAAATGTGTAACATCAATTATTATATGGCATCTTATTCAGAACATCTGGGGCAATCAGTTACAAAAAATGATGCTTTATGCTTTTGTGCTGTTTTCAAGTGAATAGCTCAAGTGAATAGCTCAACTGAATAGCACTGATTGTGACAGAGTCAGCATTGTATGAGATTACTTGTAAATCCTGTTGAAAGCAAAAAATAAATAAATGTAAGACTGACTTCTGCACGTCGTCGCTCAGGCTCTGAATGACATAGGGACAAATCAAAGATATCCACATTCGCATCAAAGCTGTCTTTTCTTGTGTATTTCACAGTTCATTTCTACCATAAAGCGTTACGGAGAAAGGCATCGTTATACATCGGTTTATAAAATCGGGACTTGGTTAGGTGGGCAAAATGACAATTTAGGTGGCCAATCCTCTGGACCCCTTTTGAGCCGACCCTGCTTTGATACGACACGGATCGAAAGACAGTCAAGAATGACAGCCCAAATGGAATCTTTCTGCCACTTGCCTAAACACAGGCACAAAAGTAGGTAGGTGAAAGGAGGCTACCAATATCCCTAGGGATAAATTGCGCTGCCAGTCTTGGTATCTCAATCGGCAAGTTTGCATTTAGTCATCGGAAACAGCTGCTTTCTGTGTCATGATTAAAACAGCATTTAGCTTTCTATTCAACATGTCCTGCAATGTAATCAAGTTCTGTGTGCTTGAAATGCGTCGGCAGTGGCCTTTTCTTTATTTAATGAGGAATTTGGTGATGTTGCACAAAAACATGTTTTTAGCGGGTGTTCATCCACGTTCATAAATTACTGCGAGAGAGAGAGAGAGAGAGAGAGAGAGAGAGCGATAGAGAGAGAGAGTGATAGAGAGAGAGAGAGAGCGATAGAGAGAGAGAGAGAGCGATAGAGAGAGAGCAATAGAGAGAGAGCGAGAGCGAGAGAGCGATAGAGAGCGATAGAGAGAGAGCGATAGAGAGAGAGAGCGATAGAGAGAGAGAGAGAGCGATAGAGAGAGAGAGAGAGCGATAGAGAGAGAGCGAGAGCGATAGAGAGAGAGAGCGAGAGAGAGAGCGATAGAGAGAGAGAGCGATAGAGAGAGAGAGCGAGAGAGAGAGAGAGAGAGAGAGAGAGAGAGAGAGAGAGAGAGAGAGAGGCTCCTACCTGCTCGATGATCTGGCGGATGGTGTTAAGTCTCACCACTCCTGAGGATTTCTCCGACCCAGCATCTTTAGGCTCAGTTTCTGACCATGGACAGAGACAGAGACCGTGTTATTCAACAAATGACTAGCGTGACTCAAGACAAAACAGACAGACAAACAGACAGACAGACAAACTGACAGACAGACACACAATGTGAGAGACTCACTGGCGATGACAAACAGGTCAGGCAGCTCACTGGCCAGCTTGTCATTGGCTGCATCAGCTATAGGACCAAACAGAACCACAGGACGTCTGAAACCAGCTACAACACAAGAGAGGAGATGATGCTTTAGACAGTCACTCCTTAGCGGTAGTACAACCTAAAACAACATGACTATCATTCCTGGGTTTATCATGCACAATATTAGGGGCCATGTATAAATGTGTGTGTGGCGGGGACCTACAGTGTCTAATAGTTTAATCATTAGAGCCATTTTCTGTTCACCATCAAACGTCACGTTCGAGTGATGTGCGTGCATCCTGACATCAAAAATCTCTGTAGCAGGATAGCCAACGCTGATGTCGGGACTGTGACAAACTTAACAGTGAGTAGGTGATGACCATGAAAATACACCAAATATTGGGAAATTATATTATTTTATACTAATACAATTGCACAGAAAAATACATTTTGTTTAACAAGTAATACAAATCTACTAAAAAAGTAAGGATCAAAATGATTGGCACCGCTGTTTTTAATACTCTAGCACCCTCCCCTTGCGAGGATAACTACACCGATCCTTTTTCTAAAATGTTTTATGAGATTGGAGAACACATTGAGAGGGATCTTAGACCATTCCTCCATACAGAATCCCAATCCTTGATATCCTTTGTCTGCTCTTATGGACTGCCCTCTTCAATTCAAACCACAGGTTTTCAATGGGATTCAAGTCCGGAGACTGAGATGACCATTGCCAAATGTTGATTTTGTGGTAAATGAACAATTTCTTGGTGGATTTTGATTAGTGCTTGGGGTTATTGTCTTGCTGGTGTTACGGACATCACACTGCTATCTTAAAAGAAAATAGCCCCATAACAACAAAGCTCCGCCACCATATTTTACCGTAGGTATGAGGTACTTTTCTGCATATGCTTCTGTTTTTCAACACCAAACACACCACTGGTGTGCATGGCCAAATAGCTCTATTTTCATGTCATCTGACCTATTTGAAAGACAATATTTGGCTGCAAAACTTTTCATGACGCGGCAGGGACATGGGTTTATACAGCTGTATGCCAGGCCCAATAAAGCTGTGTCTCAGCACTGTCTCAGTCCATTCAGCCTTAAACACTACTGCACAGTCTGCTTACACTGAAACAACAACAGGAGAAAGAGTAACTGCTCTGTTAGATTCCTGCCCTTCGTTGCCATAGCCACACTGTATCTTCTTCCTCTCTCACATACCATGCTGTAATGAGCCCTGTCTCAGTTCTCTCCATTTATTGCCATCTACTTGTCGTTCTTCCCCAATTCCCTCTCTTCCTCTTTTTCCTTCTCTCCTTTTCATTCCCTCCCTTTACGTCTTCCTCTCTCCTTGTCTGATCTGCCACCGCACCCCCTCATCCTCCTCCTACATCCTCCCCTCTTCTAAGGAACATTCTCCTCTCCCCCTCTCTCCCCCCTGTGGTGTGTATTTCCTGTGTTTAGCGTGACGACCCACACACACACACTTCTCCCTCTCCCCTCTCTTTAACTCTCAATTTCTCCCTTTTCTGTGTCACTCCTGTGTGTGTGGGTGTGTTGTTTCCTGTGTTACCTAATGCTGGCCTGCCCCTCTCTCACCCTCATTCCTTCTTAAAATGCTGTGACCCCCCTCCTCCCCACTCCTCTCCTCAATTATGCATTTCTCCTCAACTCTATCTCCCCCTCTCTCTTCCCCCTCCTTCTCCCCTATTTCCTGTGTGTTTCCCAATTATGGCCGGCGTCTGTATCACCCTCAAATCTGTATTCCTCTGCAACACTCTCTTCCCCTCCTCCCTCTCTCTCCATGTGTGTAATTTCCTGTGTAGTTTCCCCTGTGTTGACCAGACCCACCCTCTCTGAGCACGACTCTCTCGTAAGCAGGGAAGCGTGTGGCGACGGGCGTAGCACCAACATCCTCTCTGCTCTTCCTCAGCTCCTTCCTCTTGGCTGCCCTTTGACCTCTCAGACGCCAGAAGTCGGCGCGGTCCGTCCCAGCAGCCTTATGGGAGTTCTGGACGCTCGCCATCTGATCAGCCCTGGGAGAGAAAGGGGGAGGGAAAGAATGAGAAATAAGAGAGGGGGATTATGAGGAGAGGTTAGAAAGGTGAGAGGGAGAGCAAGAGGGGGAGGGAATAGGGGTGATATGTTTAGAAAAGGTGATGGTGACGTCAGCATAGAGTGAGGGCAGTGTGTTGGGGTGATAAGGTAAGTGGGTGTGGGAGAGGGAGAGAGATGAACCAAGGCAAGTGTGTTTACGATAAAAGACAGAAAATAAACACTCTTTCAAGTTGTTCCAGTTCAAATAACTTCCCACAGCCAAGGCCTGAGGATATCTAAGAGAAGGGAGAGCACATGGAAGGAAGAAAATGGGGATGAGAGGAGGAGATGTTGGTGTTGTGGCTGGTCAGATGAGTGGTGTGTGTGTGTGTGTGTGTGTGTGTGTGTGTGTGTGTGTGTGTGTGTGTGTGTGTGTGTGTGTTGGTGTGTGTGTGTGTGTGTGTGTGTGAGTGTGCAGGGATCAGCGGGGAGACTCTAGTGCAGGGATCATCAGCTAGATTGAGCCGTGGCCTGCCAGTTGGGGAACCCTACTCTAGTGTGTGATCTAGGAGAATTTAATGTGGGAGAGAGATGGCTCTGATTTGACTGATGTGGCTGAACACTCCCCTGACAGTCAACTGATGGCCAGGGAATCTTATCAGTCCTCTAAAAGTTACTATACTAGGGCCCAATCCTGACTTGAGAAATTCGAACTTAGTGTCCTCCCAGTCCATCTCATCTGCTCTAAGGGTGATGTCTTGGACCCTAGCTAACTGTACTACAGTAGCTAACTCCTCACTGTCTCTATCTCACCTGCTCTAGCTAGGGATGATGGCTTAGGGATGATTACCTGCTCTTATTAGGGATGATTACTGGCTCTTATTAGGGATGACGTTTAAAGGATGATTACCTGCCCTTCTTAGGGATGCTGCTTTAGGGATGATTACCTGCTCTTATTGGGGATGATGCCTTTCTCCAGCAGCTGTTTGTCCTTGCCGGTGCGGATGGCCAGCCAGTTGCCCAGCTTGCCATCGTAGAGAGTGTCCACCACCTTGAAGATCTCCCCTCTGGAGAAGGCCAGGCTCTGGTGAGCCTCCCGCTCATACTCAAAATGAGTCCTGATAAAGAACGAGTCTCCACGACCAGACACCAGGATGTCATTGTAGACTGGAGAGAGGGAGGGGAGGAGAGAAGGAGAGAGGAGAGAGGGAGGGGAGGAGAGAAGGAGAGAGGAGAGAGGGAGGGGAGGAGAGAAGAGAAGGAGAGAGGAGAGAGGGAGGGGAGGAGAGAAGGAGGAGAGAGGGATGGGAGGAGAGAAGGAGAGAGGAGAGAGGGAGGGGAGGAGAGAAGGAGAGAGGAGAGAGGGAGGGGAGGAGAGAAGGAGAGAGGAGAGAGGGAGGGGAGAGAGGAGAGAGGGAGGGGAGGAGAGAGGAGAGAGGGAGGGGAGGAGAGAGGGGAGAAGGAGAGGGGAGGAGAGAGAGGAGAGAAGGAGAGAAGGAGAGAAGGAGAGAAGGAGAGAGGGAGGGGAGAGAGGAGAGAGGGAGGGGAGGAGAGAAGGAGAAAGGGAGGGGAGGAAAGGAGAGAAGGAGAGAGGGAGGGGAGGAGAGAAGGCGAGAGAGGAGAGAGGGAGAGAGCGAGAGATCAGGTTTCACTCCTTGCTCATACTACAAATCCAAAAGTACAATAGCATGCACTGTCCACCAGTAGTCACCAACCCCTAGTTCTGGAGCGCTAAAGGGCATGCAGGGTTTTGGTCAAGCCGAGCACTAACTTTCCTGAACACCCTATAACTCTCAACAACAAGGCTTAATGAACCTCAACAGGAACATTTGGTTGCTACAAGTTGGTCCTTACTACCCATGTTCCATGTCCCCCTTTCCTTTCCCTGTGTGCCCATTCAGTCCCATTCTCTACGGATCACACTTGCACACCACTATCGCCTGACAAACTGAATTCTTCTGCTGCTCTATCTTCGCTACATACTTCAGTCTGAGACTGCCATCGTTGAAGTCATTTGTGAAAATGTAGGGTGTTGTACAAAACAAAGTCATCAGCGATTGGATTATCTCTAACCAATGAGAGTATCAAAGCCAATGATGCATTTTCAAAATGCCGCTGTACCCATGTATGTTCTGGCTCTGGCCCAACCCATCGGTTTCTGGGACCAATCAGAACGGTTAGAATGAGTTTGCGTTCTAGAAATCGTCGGGGAGGTACTCAGATCCAGATTCATTGCGGAGAAGAAACTAACGTTTGTGGGCGTGGTGTAGCGTTTGGCCGGAGCAAGGAGTTTGAGTAGCCAGGCAAACACCACTACCCCCCAGGGCACTATCTCACACCACGGAGAGAGGGATTACGAGGAGGATAGAGCGAGAAAGAGGGCAGAGGAGAGAGAGATGAGGAGAGAGAGAGTGAGGAAGAGAGAGAGTGAGGAAGAGAGCAAGAAAGGGATGAGAAAGGAAGAGAGAGGAGGGATGGAGACAGTAGAGGTCAGTCACGCCTGTCCTTCTCTCCTAGGCTGGCTGTCAGTGTGTGTGTGTGTGTGTGTGTGTGTGTGTGTGTGTGTTTGTGTGTGTGTGTATGTATGTATGTGTGCATGCATGCATGTGCAGAGTTGTAGTACAAGATTTGGTGGGGTTTCAAATTCAATAGTGTTCCCACAGCGCTCCCCGACAACCCAGCTGCTAGCTTTACACAGCCTGGCTGGCTAATAGACCGCACCTCCCACAATTCACGGCTCCCTGCTTGCCTGCCTGTCTTTCTGTCTGTTTGTTTGTCTGCAGATGAGGCGGCCCCTGGTACCTCTCACACACACAGGATGCATCCCAAAAGTAGTGCGCTACAAAATGACATAGGGTGCCATCATAGTTAAACAGACACGACTAAGCACCCACACAGACATGAACATACAGTTTATAGTCTAGTAGTATTCACATAGTTCACACTAACACAGTTTTTAAAGATTCATTCATTTAAAGATGAACTTCTACAGTACATAGTACATACATAAACACAGTTATACAGAGACACGGTTTGTACTGTACATGTTACATGTCACATTTCAGGGGCAATGGGTTTATGAGGCAATGTTCTCATTACGTAACTTGTGTGTCCCCCTCTGTGTGTGTGTGTGTGTGTGTGTGTGTGTGACTGGCTGTAACTGGTTTCAGTGCCGATGGGCAACAAGCTGGTGTCTCTGTATCACACTGACACAAAGTTATTATATGTGTGTGTGTGTGTGTGTGTGTGTACTTGTCTGCATTTGTGTGAGATTGTGCGTGCATGCGTGCGTGTAGCCCTGCGGTGTGACCCACAGTGTTTGTGTAATGAGTAGAGAGGAGCATGGAGAGGACAGTGTGCACTACTCTGCTCATGGGTTTATTCCACTGTTCACTTGAATCCTCTCATATCCTGCTGCATATAGCCCCTATTCAACTAGACGGACTCTAAGAAAAAGGACTGACCCACTCTCCCTTTTCCATCAAGCTGTTCCACATTGTTCATTTGTAACGTAGCCAAAGTTTGTAGCTCAGTTGGTAGAGCACGGCGCTTGTAACGCCAGGGTAGTGGGTTCGATTCCCAGGACCATCCATATGTAAAATGTGTGCACGCATGACTGTACCTTGGATAAAAGCATCTGCTAAATGGCATATATTATTATGTCTTGTCAGGAAACACTGCATCACTTAATGAAAGTAAACATTTCATAATTTAGTGAACGCTACCATATTCCCCAGTAAAAGTAGGAAAAGTCTACGTCTTTTTCTTCTGAAATTAAATCAGATTATGTGGATAACTATGGAATACTAAGGGGCAGTGTAGATTAGCGCTTTGGAACTCTCTGGAAAACAACAAGTCAACAAGTCAAGAACCGAAGACGTGTATATAGAACCGATGTCTAGAGCCCTCTGAAGTACTATAGAACCAGGAAACCCTGGGAACCCTGTGAAACACGATGAAGACTAGAGAACTCTCTAGAACTCTGTGAAACAATCTCTAGAACCTTGTAGAAGCCTCACCATCAGGTTTACTCTGGGCCAGTATGGTGACGTCCTCTCCTTTAGGAATCTCCAACAGGAACAGAACAGCCTCCTCTCTCACGATGCCTCGGAAGTCCACGCTATTCACCTGCACCACACACACACACGTTTCATGGGGAAATTAAGGGTTGTTTTACTGACTGCAATTAACAATATGCGTCTCCAGCGATCAACACAACAGATATTCACTTTCAGAAAGTTGGTGTTGAGTTTACAGATGTACAGTATTTGCCTCAGACGGTCCAATGCTGTTCACGGTGCCAAAAGGTGGTTACCTTCATGATCTGGTCTCCGGTGCGTAGCCCTTCCTCCTCGGCAGGACTGCCCTCCTGGATGCCAGCGATGAAGATGCCCACATCGTTACCTCCCGCCAGCCTCAGACCCACACTGTCCCCCTTCTGGAAACTCACCATCACTGTGTTAGCGCTGAATGGATAGCAACATTACAAATGGTTACATTAGGATCAACTCAAATGGTGAGAAAAAAAGGTGGTGGAACTTTCTCTACCCCAATTCAAACACTGGCTTAGGAACTATCCTGTTGTAAAAACAAAAAAACATGCAAGAAACCTTTGTCATTATAAATTCAGTTATGTCCCTTCTAACTCAGACTACATGTAGCTAGTTGCAGGTAATAGAAGTTCTGATCAAGGTCAGACTACGAGGCAGTTAGTCTGCAGCTAGTTGTGTATTCTAAGTTTCACCTGCAGTAGAGAGAGGAGGGCTGAGACACTCCTTCCCTCAGACTACAGACAAATAGTGTCTGTCAGCACACCCCGCCCAGCCCAGCGGTAGGAGAACGTAAAAATAACCCTCCCTCCCTACGGACCCACACACATAAACGCAAGCACACACAGCAGAGAGATGGAGCCATGGATGCATCATGAATATGAATGAGGAGGAGAGGAGAGGAAAATAAAGGAGAGGAGAGTCCTCCTATGACTCTCCCTCTTTCCATGTGTTAGCCAGGTCAGGGTTTCTTATAGGGCACTTAAACTCTGCACTGTGATCTACTCACCCATAGAGCTCTTCATCCTCTGGGCTGGGGCGTAGCAGAATCTTAGGAGTGGTCTTTGCTGACGCTGGTAAACAATACATGAACACATCTTAACAAATACTGACGGGTGAGTTCTCATCAATGACCACCTGAACTGGTTGATTACATACTCTTTCAATGAAAGGCTGGATAATGCCAGGTTGAAAAGCTGTAGCCTAACACCTGGCTGCGAATGTTATAAGACTGAATTTAAACAGGGCTCAGGAAGGATTTGAGGCCACTTTTCTAGATGCATTGTGGGTAAAAAATGCATTGTGGGTACCTGGTGGCTCGTCGAGGCGTGGCAGCCCCTCTGAGTCCAGGATGGCAGGGCCCGGGACGGGGGCAGGGCCCGGGGCGTGGGGGTCCTGTAGGGGGGGCACCCTAAAGGGCGAGGCCATGGCAGACATCTTGGCTACCCTGGGAGAGTCTTCCAGGCTGGTTAGAGGTCTGGGTGGGAGGGACACACACTGGATAGGTTGGACACTGTAACAACAACTGTAACAGTACCTCTCACTGACCTATTATGAAGCTCTCCTCTCACATCCACCCACCCAGGACAGGTTGGTTAGTTATTTAACACAGTACAGTAACAACAACTTTAATAACATATCTGACTGACCTATACTGTATCTGTCTTCTCCTCTCACATCTCTAATCCATCCATATATTCATCAACAGACAGGTTAAATCCTCCCTCTCTCTCTCTCTATTCTAGAATAACACTCCCTCCTTCCCTACCTCCATCCTACCTGGGGTTCTCTCTCTCGTTGGAGGAGTGGGAGGATAGGTCCGACTGGCGAGATCTACGGTCCTCCTGTGGGGAGTAGGACTCCATCTCTGAGATATCTGAGAGACACAGAGAGAGAGAGAGACACAGAGAGAGAGAGAGAGACACAGAGAGAGAGAGAGAGAGAGAGAGACACACAGAGAGAGACACACAGAGACAGAGAGAGAGAGAGAGAGAGAGAGAGAGAGAGAGACAGAGAGAGAGAGAGAGAGACACATAGGAGGTTAGAGAGACAAGGAAATCGTATGGACTGTGTTCCCTTCACCAGGAGAATTTGTACACCAGTGGAAACCTGATTGGCTGTCCCAAGAAGAATCACCAGTCCCCTAGCTGTGTAGGAGTCAGATAGAGTTAGAGTTATTGAAGCATTCTCTTGCCTCTCTATAACATGCTCTGAGTGACTTCACAGTATATACAACAGTTCTGTACTATACTGTACTGTCCATCTAAACCACAGTAAATACTGTAGAGTATATTAATGGCATTTTAAAACAGAGAATACAGTATACTGTCATTCTAAACCAGAGTGACTGTTGGAAATTCTGGAGATTTGCCAAAGTCCTTACAAAGGCATACTGACATACACATAGTATTTAGTATGCAAATATGATATCTATGACTCATAACAACTGAAGAGGTTAAGTCTCCAGATCAGTGTTTCTATGTATTCTATGACTAGATAGACATGTATTAGATTGTCTGTATGGTTTCATAACAGTGAAATGAAAAGGTAGTGAGCACCAGTCGCCACGCTAGGCCTGTAGTACACTACTGACATATACAGACTGTACTGTACAGTATAGCGATCTAACAGGCCTCGGTCACTTAGTTCTGTCACTCTGTTCCCGTTTATTCCCTCTGATGTCTCTGCCAATGAGAAGCCTTTCATTTGTCTGTCATGGTTTTGATCTAAAACTGTCTCGGCCGTAGATGTGGGACTCAGAGCAGTGTTCTAAAGAGGAGGAGAGGAGGAGAGGAGGAGGGAGAGTACATAGAAGCCTGTGGAAAAGAGGAGCTTTTAACAGGCTTTGAGAGGACCCAGGTGTTAGAGCGAGAGAGAGAGAGCGCGAGAGAGAGAGAGAGAGAGAGAGAGAGAGAGAGAGAGAGAGAGAGAGAGAGAGAGACTGTGAAACTGCCCTGTTTAAAATGTGCCATGGGTAGGTAGATAGACACATCATATCTAGTGCCCTGTAACCTAACCAGGAAAACCGCCAGGCCTATAGCCCAGAAAACTATAGCCCAGAGTGTTTTAAGGTCGATAAAACTCATGGCCCTAAACTATTCCCCCATAGCTCTATGGCTTTGGCACTAGCTAGGGCATAGTAGTATATTCAGTCTCACTCCATTACCAAATACATTTTTCACATTTAATTGTCGGCCAATTAAAAAGTGATTTAAAGTGAATTTGTTAGTGGGGCCGACCATGGTGATGTTTCCTTGGGACAGTCCATTAAATCTCTATTAATTAAATTAGAGTTAGAGTCATTGAGACAGACGGTTACTGTAACACATCATTGTGTAGTGAAGAGCAGTGGAGTGGAAAAAGTGATGACTCCATGGTCCTCATCAGGGAGAGAGAGAGGGAGGAGAGGGAGGGAGAGAGAGAGAGAGAGAGCGCAGAGAGAAGGAGATGGATAATGAGAGAGAGAGATGATAAGAGATAGAAGAGAGAGGCGATCGGGACCACGAAGGAGCGAGCTCGAGCAGATCGAGGAGACTCCGGAGCAAGCGAGAGTGAGAGAGTGAGGCGAAGGTCAGAGAGAGACTGACTGAGCGAAGCCTCGAGAGAGAGAGAGCTCTCTAAGAGAGAGTCGGGGTCGCTCTCTCTCGGCTTGCTCTTGCGCTGCTCCTCCGTTGGCTGCTTTTGGCGTCGTTCCGGAGGTGTGCGGGTGGCTGGAAGTAGGGGCTGGAATGGGCGGTCTCGAAAGGGGGTTTTAGAGATTGAGAGCGAGGAGTAAGAGCGATAGAAAAGGAGAAAGAAAGAGAGAGAGGGAGGGGCGAGTGAAGTCGTTACTGTGAGTGGTGGTGTTGCATCTGAAAGTGCATGATCCTGTTGCATCAACGCTCCTCAGCTCCTGTAAAGAACTTCAGACAGAGACAGACAGACACAGAGACAGATAGGCAGACAGACACAGAGGTAGATAGACAGACGGACGGACAGACAGCTGAACAGACAGATGGCTGGACAGACATATCGACAGACATGCCTCTCATAACAGCAGATGGTGTATTTCCAGCAGGAGAGCCACACATACAGTAACAGGTGGGTTTATTGACGGGTGGATTGAAACATCGAAACATGAAAGCCACAAACAGGTCAAAACTAAAGATGAATAAAGCTAGTTGATTGGTTGGTTGGTTTAGCTGGTGTGTGTGTGTGTGTGTGTGTGTGTGTGTGTGTGTGTGTGTGTGTGCAGTGGTGACTGGAGAAGTGGGTATAGCAGTAGTGTGCAAGTAGACTAATAGTAGTCTGAGACTTTCAACTGACTCAGAAATTCACAGGTATCAGATTTCTCTCCCCCCCCCCCCCCCCCCACACAAAAAAAATTGTCAAACTTTTTAAATAGAAAAACAAAAAAATTGGATGTTCTAATTCCATAACAATGTTTAAGCCACATTAGGAGACCATTTGTGAGGTCTGGGAAAAATCTAAGACATTTTTGATTTTCTTTGTGTATAGTTCCCCTTTAATTCAACTGTGCAGGCACCTAGCACTGTTGTTCGGTTAGCAGCGTTTCTGTAGCACACATGAGATGGAGTTTGCAAATAATCACGAAATCATTCTGCCAGGTAGGCATAGGCTACTTTATAGCTAGTTAACATTTAATTGAGAAGGTTTTTGAGAAAGCCTTTCCATCTACCAGAAGACGGTTAGGCCTATAATTAGCATCTCTATATTTTTCCTGTTCCTTCATTGTTTGAAACTTGAACGTTTTACTTCATATTATGAGGCATTTCTTACCTTGCTTCAAAATAGCCAAAATCCCACCATAGAAACATGGAGGCAATTACTTTATAAAGACCTCCTCATATGTGCTCTCCTGTTCTACATTTACATTTTAGTTATTTAGCAGACGCTCTTATCCAGGACTTACTGGTCCCCTGTGGGAATCGAACCCACAACCCTGGCGTTGCAAGCGCCATGCTCTATCAACTGAGCTACACGGGACTATTGGTTTTCAAATCAACTTTCCTTCATTGTCTAGTAGCTAAAGGCATTATCCTAGTCATATTAGCAACCTATGATAGTGGTTGCATCTTTAGATCTCCCCTCTTTCTAAATCTCCCCTCTTTCTTTAGATCTCCTCTCTGTCCATGAAACCGCTTGCATGTGCGGTGCGCATTTTAAAATAGTATTTTCCCGCAAATTACATTTTCAAACATTTGCATGAAGGCCTGCCGCCGTGTGCACATTGCTGCGCTTAAAACATGAAGAAATAAAAGTTTATCAACATTTTAAGCTAAACATTATGATCTGTTCCATCAGCCTTATTCATTGATACAGCGTACACCTCCACTACACTACTTTGATACACATCACGGGGATTAAGAAGTGAGTATATGCAATGCCCCCCCCAAAAAAGTGGGTATATGGTGTACACTGTACCTGCGTATACACTCCACTACACCACTGAGGGTCTGTTTGTTAATACGTACTGAACTGAACAGAGTGGTCTGTTTTTGTACAGTGTCTGCACCCTGATCTCCACCTATCTACTCCCTCTTTCCCTACTCTCTCTCCCTGCACTCTTTCCCTCTCGCTATCCCCCTCTGCTCTCTCTCTCTCTGTCTCTCCCCTCTCTTTAATCAAGAGTACTGGCATGGGCACAGGCGGGGCGGCTAGGGCTTTGGAAGGGGAGGAGAGAGAGATATAAACAAACCATGCCACAGAGAAATAACGGGCTGATAAAATCCACCATCGGAAGGTTTTAACTCCGGAGGGAAAGCACACAGGGTAATTTAGAGTAAGGGTTGAGATTACGGTCTCAGAAGCACAGGTCCTCCAGGAACTCTCCCGCACGCGCACACACACACACACACACACACACACACACCATGAGATCTGTTCCATCATTGAGGGTGGGATGAATTCCATCCTGACAATCTAATCTGGATTATATGGAGGGGTGAGAGATGGGTGGGATGGGGTGAGGAGAGGTGGGATGGGGTGAGAGAGTAGTGGCGTCGGGATGTTTGGTTTATGAGGAGGGGTATCTAGATAATAGTGGAATAAGGAATTTACTGAAAGACCTCATCCAAAACGAATGGTTTATGAGGAGACAGGCAGTAAGGATGCAGGTAGTAAGTGGGTCAGCCAGTGATCCTGTTCTTCTCTGTTCTCTATTCAAATACTCAACTGCCCTATTCCCTGCCTTCAGCCAATAGCGGCCTTCAGCCACCCACTACTTCCTGGTAATCCGCCTATCAGAGCTGGTTTGCTGTGACAGGAGACAGACAACGGAAATCAGGTTTGTTTTCATAGGCTGGTCTGAGATCAGTTTATCACACATACCGTCACAATTACAGGAAGAGACCATGTCTGGAAATGTAAATGATTAGCCTTGAAAATGTAAAGAATACTTTGTATGAAATGGTAATGTTGTATGTTAAACAAACTATGTGATAAAATATTTACAATTATTCACTCAAATCCTGTAGTATTCAACTCCTGTTAATACTGAAGGAAGAATACAGTGGGGGAAAAAAGTATTTAGTCAGCCACCAATTGTGCAAGTTCTCCCACTTAAAAAGATGAGAGAGGCCTGTAATTTTCATCATAGGTACACGTCAACTATGACAGACAAATTGAGATTTTTTTTTCCAGAAAATCACATTGTAGGATTTTTAATGAATTTATTTGCAAATTATGGTGGAAAACAAGTATTTGGTCACCTACAAACAAGCAAGATTTCTGGCTCTCACAGACCTGTAACTTCTTCTTTAAGAGGCTCCTCTGTCCTCCACTCGTTACCTGTATTAATGGCACCTGTTTGAACTTGTTATCAGTATAAAAGACACCTGTCCACAACCTCAAACAGTCACACTCCAAACTCCACTATGGCCAAGACCAAAGAGCTGTCAAAGGACACCAGAAACAAAATTGTAGACCTGCACCAGGCTGGGAAGACTGAATCTGCAATAGGTAAGCAGCTTGGTTTGAAGAAATCAACTGTGGGAGCAATTATTAGGAAATGGAAGACATACAAGACCACTAATAATCTCCCTCGATCTGGGGCTCCACGCAAGATCTCACCCCGTGGGGTCAAAATGATCACAAGAACGGTGAGCAAAAATCCCAGAACCACACGGGGGGACCTAGTGAATGACCTGCAGAGAGCTGGGACCAAAGTAACAAAGCCTACCATCAGTAACACACTACGCCGCCAGGGACTCAAATCCTGCAGTGCCAGACGTGTCCCCCTACTTAAGCCAGTACATGTCCAGGCCCGTCTGAAGTTTGCTAGAGTGCATTTGGATGATCCAGAAGAGGATTGGGAGAATGTCATATGGTCAGATGAAACCAAAATAGAACTTTTTGGTAAAAACTCAACTCGTCGTGTTTGGAGGACAAAGAATGCTGAGTTGCATCCAAAGAACACCATACCTACTGTGAAGCATGGGGGTGGAAACATCAGGCTGTTTTTCTGCAAAGGGACCAGGACGACTGATCCGTGTAAAGGAAAGAATGAATGGGGCCATGTATCGTGAGATTTTGAGTGAAAACCTCCTTCCATCAGCAAGGGCATTGAAGATGAAACGTGGCTGAGTCTTTCAGCATGACAATGATCCCAAACACACCGCCCGGGCAACGAAGGAGTGGCTTCGTAAGAAGCATTTCAAGGTCCTGGAGTGGCCTAGCCAGTCTCCACATCTCAACCCCATAGAAAATCTTTGGAGGGAGTTGAAAGTCTGTGTTGCCCAGCGACAGCCCCAAAACATCACTGCTCTAGAGGAGATCTGCATGGAGGAATGGGCCAAAATACCAGCAACAGTGTGTGAAAACCTTGTGAAGACTTACAGAAAACGTTTGACCTGTGTCATTGCCAACAAAGGGTATATAACAAAGTATTGATAAACTTTTGTTATTGACCAAATACTTATTTTCCACCATAATTTGCAAATAAATTCATTAAAAATCCTACAATGTGATTTTCTGGATTTTTTTTCTCATTTTGTCTGTCATAGTTGACGTGTACCTATGATGAAAATTACAGGTCTCTCTCATCTTTTTAAGTGGGAGAACTTGCACAATTGGTGGCTGACTAAATACTTTTTTCCCCCACTGTATTAATATGTTGTTACAATGGTTATAATGATGCAGTAATCTTACCCATTTATACTGTACAAGACATGTTTTTTTTATGCAATTTCAAATCTGTATTTGAAATCTGTATTTGAAATGTCGCTAAGTTATTACCCCTTCTCTAAGTTGTTGCATGTTTTTACTAATGACAGAATATGGTCAAATATGTATCAATGCTATATGTAGAATAAAACAATCACTTTAACTGCTACAAAGCTTGTACTGCATGTACTTTTAAGTACAACTAAAACTACAGTAAAATATTTGTACTAAATGTACAGTAAAAATGTAATATTTGTTCCATTGGCATTATTCAACCTACTGTCCTTAATAAATCACACAGTACAAAATAGATAGTGATTAAAATATTTTATTGGTTTTAGGAAAATATTAAAAAATTAAAGTTTAATAGCAAAAAAGGAAGTGCAAAGTGTGAAAGCTTTACAACTTGTAGTAATGTAGTGGTTGGCAGAGTTCATTTTTACAGTTTAAAGGCAACCAATGCAAACGTTACTGTTGTGACTCTCTTGGGTGGTCCTTCATCTAAAAGTATGACATTTTATCTGGAAGAGAGAAGACAAAAAATAATTTCTCTTTTGTAGGTTACGATTGAGGAAATCTATTTTTGTTGTCAATACTGTATATTCATGGTCGGTTTAACTTCCTAGTATGAGAGTAAACGTCCAAAATGTTTACCCTTAAATAGTGTACTTAGGCTAGTAATGAACCATTTTAGGTCACTATATCTTATGTGTACATTAAGTACATTAAGTAAACTACGAATGGACTCTATAACCTCTGTGTGTGTGTGATATGGCAGCTGCAAGCAGAAACGTGAGACTTTACAAATGTTAAATGTGTTATTTTTAACCCGTTGAATGCCAGATATTTTTACCTCAACAGGGCCGTGGCCTGATTTGGTGGCTGTCTACTCTGGAGGAATGTTGAAATAATGCCATTGGATACATTTGAATATCGTTTTCTATTGATAACAAACCTGAGTAAACTTGGATATCTTCACCTAAATCCTAAACTGATCAGTTTCCTATTTGACCTTTTTAACCTGCAAATGTAACGTACACTACCACATCAACTGAAGTGATTTGACCTATTCATGCTTGTGAAAGACCCAGTTTTGGGCCAAAGAATGGTGCTGGTTTTCATGATCAGTGTATAGTGTTGCCAATGAGACTTGGCAACACTATACAGTACAGTGATCAATGATCTGTAAGTGCAGTGGAGCAGAGAAAACTAACACGCAATGTAGCCCTGTAGCCCTCTGGGACATTCTACAGGCAATCTAACCCACTCAAACCCCCCTACTCTCTATGAATACTGCTTTGCTATTGGTCAGGACAGGTCCCCTGTAGCTCAGTTGGTAGAGCATGGCGTTTGCAACGCCAGGGTTGTGGGTTCGTTTCCCACGGGGGGCCAGTATGAAAAATGTATGCACTCACTAACTGTAAGTCGCTCTGGATAAGAGCGTCTGCTAAATGACTAAAATATCAATGTAAAAATGTTTCTGTCATCCTCTGCATTCTGAATACTGCACTGCTATTGGTCAGGACAGGTGTCTGTAATCCCTCCCCCTCCCCTGTCAGCCACTCACCATCAGGTTCGGAGTCGGAGTCTACGAGGGGCGGGATACGGATGAGGATCTGGCGGCGGTCTCTCTGGACGACCAGTTGGAGTTTCCCTCTAGACTTCTCTATGAGCTTCCCTGCATCGTTCAGAGACAGGTTCTCTGTTACTGTCCCATTGATCTGGAGCGAGGGAAGAGATGCGAGAGACGGGAGAGGAGAGGACAGGAGAGAGAAGGAGAAATTAGTGTAAATGAGTGTTAGATGAGTAGTGATTTGACAGTTTGGTGGGAGAGAGGATTAAAAGGTTCCTCTTTGGCAGCATCCTGCTTTGCAGTCATGCCAATGACGACCAATTGAACTTCCATTGAGAGTATGTGTGTGTAAAGGAGAGCACAAGAGATTAATTGTGTGTGTGGGTATATTACCTTGAGGATGATGTCTCCCTCCTGTAGGTTTCCGTCCTTGGCAGCCAGTCCTGTACTGGTCATCTCCTTGATGAATATCTGACTGCCCAGACGCAGACCATACTCTAGACACACACAAACACTTAGTGACCAGCTGCGGCAACCAGAGAACATACACAGCCTGAAACTTAAAACCACTTTCACGTCTGACCTTACAACCTTATAGCGCAAATAATAAACTGACCCTTCCAAATCAAAGCAGTAAACATTTACCGTGTCCCACATTTTTTACATTTACATTTTAGTAATTTAGCAGACGCTCTTATCCAGAGCGACTTACAGTTAGTGAGTGCATACATTTTTCATACTGGCCCCCCGTGGGAATCGAACCCACAACCCTGGCATTGCAAACGCCATGCTCTACCAACTGAGCTACATGGGGGGCCAAATGAGCCCTGGTCAAATGTATTGCTTTATATACTGTAGGCAACAGGGTGCCATTTGGGACACAGTTATTCATATGCTCCCTCCTTCCTGATCACTTATTGTAAAGGAAAATACATGATTTGTATTTGTATTTATTATGGATCCCCATTAGATGCTGCCAAGGCAGGGGGTCCAGCAAAATTAAGGCAGTTATACAATTTAAAAACATTACAATACATTCATAACAGATTTCACAACACACTAAAAGTGTGTGCCCTCAGGCCCCTACTCCACTACCACAAATATACAACACAAAATCTATTTGTACGCGTGTGTATAGTGCATATGTTATCGTGTGTGTGTGTGTGTGTGTTTGCATGACAATCAAATTGTACTGCTTGCATCAGTTACTTGATGTGGAATAGAGTTCCATGTAGTCATGGCTCTATGTAGTACAGTGTGCCTCCCATAGTCTGTTCTGGACTTTGGGACTGTGAAGAGACCTCTAGTGGCATGTCTTGTGGGGTATGCATGGGTGGTCGGTGCATTCAACATACCTCTCACAAATACAAGTAGTGATGAAGTCAATCTCTCCTCCACTTTGAGCCAGGAGAGATTGACATGCATATTATTAATGTTAGCTCTCTGTGTACATCCAAGGGCCAGCCGTGCTGCCCTGTTCTGAGCCAATTTCAATTTTCCTAAGTCCCTCTTTGTGGCACCTGACCACACGACTGAACAGTAGTCCAGGTGCGACAAAACTAGGGCCTGTAGGACCTGCCTTGTTGATAGTGCTGTTAAGAAGGTAGAGCTACGCTTTATTATGGACAGACTTCTCCCCATCTTAGCTACTGTTGTATCAATATATTTTGACCATGACAGTTTACAATCCAGGGTTACTTCAAGCAGTTTAGTCACTTCAACTTGCTCAGTTTCCACATCATTTATTACAAGATTTAGTTGAGGTTTAGGGTTTAGTGAATCATTTGTCCCAAATACAATGCTTTTAGTTTTTGAAATATTTAGGACTAATTTATTCCTTGCCACCCATTCTGAAACTAACTGCAGCTCTATGTTAAGTGTTGCAGTCATTTCAGTCGCTGTAGTAGCTGACGTGTATAGTGTTGAGTCATCCACATACATAGACACACTGGCTTTTCTCAAAGCCAGTGGCATGTCATTAGTAAAGACTGAAAAAAGCAAGGGGCCTAGACAGCTGCCCTGGGGTGTTTCTGATTCTACCTGGATTATGTTGGAGAGGCTTCCACTAAAGAATACCCTCTGTGCTCTGTTAGACAGATAACTCTTTATCCACAATATAGCAGGGGGTGTAAAGCCATCACACATATGTTTACTAAGGGTTGGTAACAGGCTAAGTGGTTGGCTATTTGAGCCGGTAAAAGGGGGCTATACTATTCTTAGGTAGCAGAATGACTTTTGCTTCCCTCCAGGCCTGAGGGCACACACTTTCTAGTAGGCTTAAATGAAAGATATGTCAAATAGGAGTGGCAATATCATCCGCTATTATCCTCAGTAATTTTCCATCCAAGTTGTCAGACCCCGGTGGCTTGTCATTGTTGATAGACAACAATCATTTTTTCACCTTTTCCACACTCACTTTACGGAATTCAAAATTACAAGGCTTGTCTTTCATAATTTGGTCAGATATACTTGGATGTGTAGTGTCAGCGTTTGTTGCTGGCATGTCATGCCTAAGTTTGCTAATCTAAAAAAATTATTGATCACAGCTTCTCACCTTCGTTGGGTCTGTTCTTGACCAGCAGGACGTTAACAGGTTTCTCCAAGGGCTCCAGGTCTCTAGCTCCTCCTCGGGGGGGGTCAGGGGAGGGCGATCGGGACGGCTCTTGGAGGTGGTCTCTACTCTTACTCTTCACCATCCTCCCCCCGGTACCTCCCCCATCGCCGTACCGCCCCCCTCCTCGCTCGTAGCTGTCTCCCCGGCTGTAGTTCCTCCCACCTGGACTTCCTCCTCCCCCTCCTCTCTCCCGGTCCGTGCTCCTCCCCCGGCTGCGTTCCCGTGGATACCGTGGCCTCTCGGGACTGGGTGGCTCCCGGTCCAAGGCCCGCCCCCTGCTGTTGTCGCGGTGAGGCTCCGGGCTCTGCGACGCCCTCTCCTTGCTCCTCCCCCGGCTTCTCCCTCGGTTACCATGGCCGCCGTAGTCGGGGTCCAGGTAGCTCTTGTTGTCAGGGGTGAGGTCGCGAGGCTCGCGGTTGTAACCAGGACCACCGTTGCCACGATGCCAGCCCCCGTCACTCTGGTTGTCATCGGCATCGTAGTAGCGGGTGGAGCCGAAGTCTCGACTCTCGGCGCCAGGAGAGGGAGGGTGTTTCAGGGAGTGGAGAGCCACCTTCCGAGGTCTCTTCACTGTCTGGGGGAGACAAAGACACACACACACACACACAGAGAGAGACAGACAGGGTAAACTGTTAGAGACTGAACACTAGACTGCTGCATTTTGATGGAAAGGATCGATTTAGTTAACACGTGCAACAAAACACCCATGAGACACACACGCACACAGAGCCAGGAGCAGGGGCGGGGCAGGAGCAGAGGCCATGACAGTAAGGTTAGTAAGGTTATTTCTGGCTGTGCAGTGTTAAAGGAGCATCACCTGGAAAGAATGGGGTCAGCTCAGTGAAGTGTAAAACACCTCGCTCGGCAGTACTGTGGCTGTCTGTATGGTGTTCCACTCCCACACTGTTAGAACTAGCTGAACTTGTCAGCTTAACTTGTTTAACTGCTGGGTTGAATAACTGTCAAGGCCAAATCATCTCTGTATAAATCTGGTCAACTATTACATCATTGGGATCAATGTATGAAAATCTATTTTTCCAAGTCTGGCCTATATTAACATTGCCAATCCAGCAACACTATGATATATCTAATGGCCAATGGAAAAACACAAATCTCTTGAACAATTGGCCATTGTTGCCTACCTTCTTTAGTTGGCTTCCTTCCTGCAATCTAACTAACTACAGTGATACTCACTATCTTGGCGGTCTTCCCACATTTGCGTAGCTGCTGCACAGCGAAGGAATGAGGCACGTTGTCCATGAGGATGGAGTTGACTTGGATCACACGGTCATTTTCACTGGGGAGGGAAACAACAAAACACACAGTTCACACAAAACCTCAAATAAAGGGTTCGGAACTCAATCTAGGGGCGCACCTCAATAGTCAAAAATGGCTTCCTCTCATTGTGTCCTTCCTTTCTTTCATCTGTACTGATTTGGAGAAAAAAAAACTGGACAGGTAAAAACCTTGCTTTTCACCTATGTTTTCAAATCAGTGCAGATGAAGGAGAGGAGATGAGGACGAGGTCTTCAAACTACTGAGATTCACAGGAAGTAGTTGATGACATAAGAGGAAGAGAAAGCAATAGTTGATGACATAAGAGGAAATAGTAGTTAATGGCATAATGAGGAAGCGGTGTAACGTACAACAGTAGTCCATCAGCTGGTCCTCCCTGCAAAACGTCTGACACGATGATTGAAGTCTCGCCGTTCTCCACGTTGGGGTTGTCCCGCCCCCCCGACACAGCGATACCAAACCCCATCTTGGAGTCCTGCATGCAGATTGTAGATAGATAGATAGATAGATAGATAGATAGATAGATAGATAGATAGATAGTAGAGAGTAGTAGATAGTAGTAGATGATAGATAGAGATAGATAGATAGAGTAGATAGATGATGATAGATAGTGTAGTGATAGATGATAGTGGTGCATAGAGATAGATGATAGATGTGTTGAAATGTAGATGTGACTAGATTGATAGATGTCAGAATCAATACGATAGATAGATAGAGATATGTTTGATAGATTGAATGAAGATGATAGTAGAATGTCGTAGACTAGATAGATAGTGATCAGATCAGACTAGACGTAGACAGAGCATGATAGCATGATGTGATAGTGTGATACCCGATAGATGAATAGACTGTAGATAGATCGTGATCAGCGACGTGCTGCTCAGATGTGCCTAATTGCTCGCCCGAAGCATAGTACATCCACCGATCAGATAGATGGATCGAGAGTAGTAGATGATGTGCGAGATGTAGTAGATGATCAGATACGTAGAGTAGTAGTAGAGATGAAGATGAGATAGAATGAGGTGAAGAGGAGAGGAAGAGTGAGAGAGTAGAGTGAGAGAGTGAGAGAGAGAGAGAGTGAGAGAGTGAGAGAGCGCGAGATAGAGTGAGCGAGATAATTAAGTTGGGGGTTGGGCAATGGAAAGATACAGGGTTGAAATTTGACAGGGGATTGGGAGGTCAGACAAACAAATAGAGTAAAATGGGTTGAAATTGAATGAGAGAGTAGACAGACAGACAGACAGACAGACAGACAGACAGGTAGACAGAGCATGATGACATTGGATGGGTTGAAGGGTCGACTACAACCACATAGATGGGAAAGACGGGAGGAGATCGGTTGGTGGGGCGAGGGGGGAGGGAGGAGCAGACGGCTTGCGTTTCCAATGTGGCTCTAATTGTCTCTGCCCTGAATGGCACATACATCACAACCCACAGGTATAGAGGGACAGAGAGGAGGGAGATGAGGGACAGAGAGGAGAGAGATGAGGGACAGAGAGGAGGGAGAGAGGGGGAGAGAGATGAGGGAGAGAGATGAGGGACAGAGAGGAGGGAGAGAGGAGGAGAGAAAGAAAGAGACCAGGAGAGCTGTGCAAGACGAATAGAAAACAATCACACACACTCCCTCTAGCCAGAATACAGTCGCGTCCAAGTAGTTGACATGACAAATCTCCCCCGGAAAGAGAGAGGGATAGAGAAAGAGAGAGAGAGAGTGAAAGAGAGAGAGAGCGAGAAAGAATGAGCGTGAGAGGGATAGAAAGATGGAGAGAAAGCAATGAAAGAGAGTGAAAGCAGGTCAACCTTGGAGCTCTTGGCTATCAATGGGGGAAAAATACATCTCCTGTCCGTCTAGATGAAGATGCATGATAGGAGGAGTAACAGACACACACACACACACACACAGTAAATGGGGGATATGGAGAGCAGGGTATTAGTCAGAGACGTGGTCTCCCCTAACAACACTTACCTCCTTAGTGTGTCAAATAGATTGATGGACACACGGCTGGGAGAGAGTGACTCATAACTGAATTATGTGTGTGTGTGTTGGTTTCTACTCCTCGTGTCTACTTATTATGTGCATGTATGTGTGTGCATTTACGTACATGCGTGCAGACGCAAGTGTGTGTTCCTCCTCCCTCCCAGTGTGGATACTGAGAGCCAGGGCTAGCCTAGGGAATAGTGATGCATCCATGTGATAAGGTCGAACATCCCAAACAGCTATCTCCCAGGATCACTCTCAGTCCTCCTAACCGCGTCCTCTCTTCCTGTTGTTAGCCCTGTTTCCAAGCTCTGTGATGTCATATTCTCCATCACTGTGTTTATAGTTGATCGGATAACATTCATTCTATATCCATCCCAAATGGCACCCATACTCCCAACATAGTGCACTACTTTTGACCAGAGCCCTTTGCGCCCTATGGGGCCTGGTCAAAAAGTAGTGCACTACTATAGTAAATGGGTTGCCATTGGGGAAGCAGCCTATGTTTGTAGTTGATCTGATAAGGTTAATAAAACGTTGATCCTATCTACTACAGTCAGTGACCACAGAGACATCCTCTCTTCTGGGGATACTGTGTTTGACTGGAGGCTTCAGTAAAGGGAGTTGAGAGATGCACATACACGCATGCATGCACGCACGCACGCACGCACGCACGCACGCACGCATGTGCATTTCGCGCGCACACACACACGGTGAGAGCCAACACAAACCAGAGAGATTCCATACGAAAACAGGACAAAAAAAGACCATGATTTGGGGTATTTTAACAAGATTTAATCCATAGAATGGTCCTTTGGAGGAAGGATTGTTGACATATACTTGACATTTTTATCTAAAAGCATAAATGAGAAATAAATAATATTTATGACATTTTGGACTTACCCAGGCCTCGTTTAAGCCTCCACAATGGTGTCATATGAAGCTTCACTGCTTGCTCTGTAATATGAGTAGTGTTTTTTACGTTCATTTATGAATATTGAACCATATCAACATGAATAATATTTTGCTCATTTCTTTATATATCGTTGAACATAATATACTCTACGGGGATATCAACGTTTGTTGGACCCCAGGAAGATTAGCTGACGTTATGGCATCAGCTAATGGGGATCCTAATAACAATAAAAAATTCCAGAGTGGAATCTCTGCTAGTTTTAAAGTTATGTTCCATTTTATACAGAGAAATTGGCACTGTAGGCCATGTAAGCAATAACAGCCCTCCTTTTATTTGTATCATTGCACATGCTGCAAATCACCACAAGGGGCGACCATTTTGAATCAATTTTCACATTCACTGTTGGTAATGCTTACATATTAGATCATAACTCTACAAGTAACAGAGATCCCACTCTGGAACTTAGATATTATGTTATATTATGTTCAACAATATATTGAAAGATTTGCCAAAACAAATATTTTTCTGTAATTATATGTTTCGTTTTTTCAATATTCATAAATTAATGTTAGAAAAATTAAAATACTACTCATATTACATAGCAAGCAGTAAAGCTTCATATGACACCATTATGCCTGTAGCACCTACAAATTAAACATTTTGGAGTCCTAAAGGTCCTGAACAGTCATTCTGAAAAGTACTTTTTCTCTCATGGCTAACTACCAGGAAGTTTGAAAAAACAGGCTGAGTGGGAGGGGAGCTTATATTCATGAGCTCGCCTTGAATGACAGCTCTTTGAAATGTCAAGCAACTTGGATGCAGTGAGCAGTGTTGCATCTCAAGCAAATGTGGTGACACACAAAGCAACTCAAACAACATTGAAATTACATCAATTATATCCTTTAAAAATATATATATATACATCTCCCGTTTGGCATTTCTCTTGTGATGCAGTTCACAGCAGCACTGACGGATGTGTTAACTTGACAACGGCGTCAGAGTTTTGAAAAACCCTTCACCCCCTTTTGTTCCATGCAGGCTGAAGACCTAGCTAGCCAGTAACTAGCTAACACCTGACACAGGTGAAAGGGGAAACATATGAGTATCTTTGCCATAGATGAATAGGGTAAACTTGTAATTATATTTGCTGACACTCTACAGTCAAATTTTGATACCAGTAGAGTAGCTATCTAGCTAGTTAAATTACGCCCATCTGCAAACGATGTTTCTCCGATGTTGGTTACAAGGTGGTACTTATTTAAATTATCATGTTACCATTGGTGTATTTAAATGTGAGTTAAGGTGATGTCACCTTTTCCCCTTACTAATGAATCCAAGTGTTTGACATGGGGGAAGGGACCAGTAACTTTATAATCAAACTTTATCAATGTAGAGGCAACATTTTCCATACTTTGGTCATCATATTTCGATCTGGTTTCCTTCAAATATCATCAATTTTCATGAAAAACATGATTTTGATTGTTCATTACCTTTAAAGGATGCCTGGGTAAGGCCAACATGTCATAAACATACCAACTTTTATTAATTATTCTCAACTATACTTTCAGATACAAATGTAAAATATGTCAACAAACCATCTTCCAAAGGACAATTCTATGAATTACATTTAATGAAAATCACAAAAATCAGTTTTTTTGTTGTTGTCCTGGTTTCATATGAAATCACTCACCTGCTGTGGTCCTTTGCTGATGGCAAAGGACAAAGACAACACACACACACACACTACTCTGTGAACCTACATTGTAGGTCATCCACTGGGGAGAGACCATAGGAGAGACTCCAGGGCCAGTACATGTAAAGGTCACAGGTTAACTAACCCTTTGTAGTCTCTCACTCACACACACACAAAGAGAGACAGTGCATTCGGAAAGTATTCAGACCAATTGACTTTTTACACACTTTGTTACTTTACAGCCTTATTCTACAATGGATTACATATTTTTTTCTCTGCAATCTACACACAATACCCCATAATGACAAAGAAAAAACTAGTTTAGAAATGTATTAAAAATAAACAACGGAAATATCACATTTACATAAGTATTCAGACCCTTTACTCAGTACTTTGTTGAAGCACATTTGGCAGAGATTACAGCCTTGAGTCTTCTTGGGTATAACGCTACAAGCTAGGCACACCTGTATTTGGGGAGTTTCTCCCATTCTTTTCTGCAGATCCTCTCAAGCTCTGTCAGGTTGGATGGGGAGCGTCGCTGCACAGCTATTTTCAGGTCTCTACAGAGATGTTCGATCAGGTTCAAGTCCGTCCTCTGGCTGGGCCACTCAAGGACATTCAGAGACATGTCCCGAAGCAACTCCTGCGTTGTCTTGGCTGTGTGCTTAGGGTCGTTGTCCTGTTGGAAGGTGAACCTTCACCCCAGTCTGAAGTCCTGAGCGCTCTGGAGCAGGTTTTTATTAAGGATCTCTCTGTACTTTTCTCCGTTAATCTTTGCCTCGATCCTGACTAGTCTCCCAGTCCCTGCCGCTGAAAAACATCCCCACAGCATGATGCTGCCACCACCATGCTTCACCGTAGGGATGGTGGCAGGTTTCCTCCAGATGTGACGCTTGGCATTCAGGCCAAAGAGTTAAATCTTGGTTTCATCAGACCAGAGAATCTTGTTTCTCATGGTCTGAGAGTCCTTTAGGTGCCTTTTGGCAAACTCCAAGTGGACTGTCATGTGACTTTTCTGAGGAGTGGCTTCCGTCTGGCCACTCTACCATAAAGGCCTGATTGGTGGAGTGCTGCAGAGATGGTTGTCCTTCTGGAAGGATCTCCCATCTCCACAGAGGAACTGGAGCTCTGTCAGAGTGACCATCGGGTTCTTGGTCACCTCCCTGACCAAGGCCCTTCTCCCACGATTGCTCAGTTTGGCCGGGCGGCCAGCTCTAGGAAGAGTCTTGGTGGTTCCAAACTTCTTCCATTTAAGAATGATGGAGGCCACTATGTTTGTGGGGACCTTCAATGCTGCAGAAATAGGTTGGAACTCTTCCCCAGATCTGTGCCTCGACACAATCCTGTTTTGGAGCTCTACAACTCCTTTGACCTCATGGCTTGGTTTTTGCTCTGACATGTACTGTCAACTGTGGGACCTTATACAGTGGGGGAAAAAAGTATTTAGTCAGCCACCAATTGTGCAAGTTCTCCCACTTAAAAAGATGAGAGAGGCCTGTAATTGTCATCATAGGTACACGTCAACTATGACAGACAAAATAAGAAAAAAAAAATCCTGAAAATGACATTGTAGGATTTTTAATGAATTTATTTGCAAATTATGGTGGAAAATAAGTAATTGGTCAATAACAAAAGTTTCTCAATACTTTGTTATATACCCTTTGTTGGCAATGACACAGGTCAAACGTTTTCTGTAAGTCTTCACAAGGTTTTCACACACTGTTGCTGGTATTTTGGCCCATTCCTCCATGCAGATCTCTTCTAGAGCAGTGATATTTTGGGGCTGTCGCTGGGCAACACGGACTTTCAACTCCCTCCAAAGATTTTCTATGGGGTTGAGATCTGGAGACTGGCTAGGCCACTCCAGGACCTTGAAATGCTTCTTACGAAGCCACTCCTTCGTTGCCCGGGCGGTGTGTTTGGGATCATTGTCATGCTGAAAGACCCAGCCACGTTTCATCTTCAATGCCCTTGCTGATGGAAGGAGGTTTTCACTCAAAATTTCACGATACATGGCCCCATTCATTCTTTCCTTTACACGGATCAGTCGTCCTGGTCCCTTTGCAGAAAAACAGCCCCAAAGCATGATGTTTCCACCCCCATGCTTCACAGTAGGTATGGTGTTCTTTGGATGCAACTCAGCATTCTTTGTCCTCCAAACACGACGAGTTTTTACCAAAAAGTTCTATTTTGGTTTCATCTGACCATATGACATTCTCCCAATCCTCTTCTGGATCATCCAAATGCACTCTAGCAAACTTCAGACGGGCCTGGACATGTACTGGCTTAAGTAGGGGGACACGTCTGGCACTGCAGGATTTGAGTCCCTGGCGGCGTAGTGTGTTACTGATGGTAGGCTTTGTTACTTTGGTCCCAGCTCTCTGCAGGTCATTCACTAGGTCCCCCCGTGTGGTTCTGGGATTTTTGCTCACCGTTCTTGTGATCATTTTGACCCCACGGGGTGAGATCTTGCGTGGAGCCCCAGATCGAGGGAGATTATTAGTGGTCTTGTATGTCTTCCATTTCCTAATAATTGCTCCCACAGTTGATTTCTTCAAACCAAGCTGCTTACCTATTGCAGATTCAGTCTTCCCAGCCTGGTGCAGGTCTACAATTTTGTTTCTGGTGTCCTTTGACAGCTCTTTGGTCTTGGTCATAGTGGAGTTTGGAGTGTGACTGTTTGAGGTTGTGGACAGGTGTCTTTTATACTGATAACAAGTTCAAACAGGTGCCATTAATACAGGTAACGAGTGGAGGACAGAGGAGCCTCTTAAAGAAGAAGTTACAGGTCTGTGAGAGCCAGAAATCTTGCTTGTTTGTAGGTGACCAAATACTTATTTTCCACCATAATTTGCAAATAAATTCATAAAAAATCCTACAATGTGATTTTCTGGATTTTTTCTCCTCAATTTGTCTGTCATAGTTGACGTGTACCTATGATGAAAATTACAGGCCTCTCTCATCTTTTTAAGTGGGAGAACTTGCACAATTGGTGGCTGACTAAATACTTTTTCCCCCCACTGTATAGACAGGTGTGTGCCTTTCCAAATCATGTCCAATCAGTTGGATTTACCACAGGTGGACTCCAATCAAGTTGTAGAAACATCTCAAGGATGATCAATGGAAACAGGATGCACCTGAGCTCAATTTCAAGTCTCATAGCAAATGGTCTGAATACTTATGTAAATAAGGTATTTCAGTTTTTATTTTTAATAGATTTGCAAACATTTCTAAAAACCTGTTTTTGCTTTGTCATTATGGGGTATTGTGTGTAGATTGATGAGGATTTTTATATATTTAATCAATTTTAGAATAAGGCAGTAACGTTAATTTTTTTTGGAAAAAGTCAAGGGGTCTGAATATTTTCAGAATGCACTGTATATAGAAAGAGAGAGAAAGAGCGAGATTGGGAGAGCGAGAGCGAGAGGAGAGAGAGAGAGAGAGAGAGAGAGAGAGAGAGAGAGAGAGAGAGAGAGAGAGAGAGAGAGAGAGAGAGAGCGAGCGAGAGAGGTCAACTTACCCTCTGTAGGTTCACAGTGTACTGCTCCCAAACAGTCTCCTCCATTCCTGAGCTCTGTGGAGAACAGAGAACAAACACAGTTAGTAGTGATGGGGGAAAAATAGATAGTTACATATCGCAATATTATTTCAAATGATATTATATTGATACTTTGACTCCTAGTATCGATTAGTAAAAAACATATATAAAAAATTAAAAATGTAGCTTTAGCTAACACTAGTCGGCTGTACCTGCGCCAAAACTCGGGTATTTTTCATCCTATAGCTTGTTCTCAGTCTTATTTTTAAATAGTGAGACATGTTTTCAGCACTTTTATCATATAATCGTGTAACCGATAATTATGGATAATAACCGTGAACAAAAACAAATAATTGTCATAATAGGAAAAAGGGCGATTCAACTTTATATTAAAGTTGTTTAACCAATAGAAGTTTCTCATTTTTACATGAAGTGGGTAAAGTTGGTCATCATCAAGATATAAGACTAGAGTCTGACTGATATAATTGTTCCACCGATAACAGACATTCCAAGTTAACACTACAGAGAAGGGGATGAAGCAACACTGAGCTACTCATCACCCACACCATTTAAACTACCTTCATATTATCTCGAGGCACCCCCTGTGAAAACAGTGCCTTCAGAAAGTATTCACACACCTAGACTTTTTTAACCCTGAAAAAAAGTGTCTTTCAACTCACCAAATTGAGCCCTGTTTCAAATGATCACTCTTTGAGAATAGCTGTTCCAGATGTGTATTACTTCGCACTATTCTGTTCTATTTTATTCTGCTATATTATTTCATGTTTTTTTTACTTGGAATAGGTGTGTCTTGACTGTGATAAGGGCTCAGGAAATAAAAGCTTAGTCTGCTAAATTAACAAAACAAGGCTATGCCATTGCACAGCCATAGTCTTCTACAAGCAAGCACCACTGCTGAGGTTACTACCTTTTTGAAGATTGTGTTCCACGATATAATATAACCAGTTGATATTACGGTTTCAATAAATTAATCTTAAATGGCACTTGTTTTTTAATTGACTGAATATATATGGGTCAATTTAGCAATTAGTATTGGTTATCTGTAATGGTTATGATAAATTAGGAATTGTTGCGCACTGTTGGCATGTAGATAAATGCACAAATGTTTTCCCTGTGTGGGCCTTGTGTTCTAAAAATAGCTTTTTTTTTTTCATTCAAGTACTCAATGAAATTCATGCGAGTACTCGAACAGTCAAGAAATGTCAAACACCCATCCTTAACACACACACTCACACTGATCTGACAGAATCCTATATCTGCGATGACAATGTGCAGACAGACACACATGCCGAACACACAAACACAAATCGATCAACAGCCACAGACGCATAGCTATCCTGCAACCCTGAGTACTATATCCTCTCTGTAAACTCCAGTGTGAATGGCATCAGGACCCATCTGTATCGGCTCCTATCTGTTCCAGAGATCTGGATGTAGTGTAGAACACACCTACTGGACCCACAGGAGGGACTGCGCTGACACATCACATCCCCCTACCCACCCGGAAATAACTGTTCCCCACAACCCACAGACTGACTGGCTGCCGTGCAAATCACACAGCTAAATGCTACCAACGTCCAACTGATGCAAATACACACTCTCTCCTCTCTCTCACACTCTGCTAGCATGACAGATGGAGCGGGAGAGCTTTTTCATTACACACACTGACTGAGTACTAGCACCAATACGGGAGTATGAGACAACATCATTCATCAACAGTTTCTTTGCCTCTCAAATGAAAAGCAGTAAAAAACATTTCTCCCGGCCGGAGCCTATTGGAGCAGCAGACTTCTTCAACCCTGTATTATTCACTTGGCAAATAGAGTTCTTGGCTTGAGCAATTTCCTATTGGATCAAAATGTGGCAATTGTGATTTACTAGAATATCATTTGATTCTGTAGTAGAGGCAAACAAATTGCCATGATGAAGACTGTGCAACATTACAGTGTTTCTCTGTAGCTAAATAACCAAGCTGTAGCACTGAACTGGTGTAGCTAGCAACCACAATATAACTCTCCCTGAAACCCAACTTAACTTGACATACTTTTAACACTCGGTTCTACAACCAAACGACTACGTTAGTCTACAAACAAACATCTAGTCAAACACACGCCAGAAAGCGCTAAGGGGAAATCAGAGAGCAGGGAGAGATCTTTCCTCTAGGGATCAGAGCTAGACAGTTTATCCTCTGGGGAGGTGGCAAAGAATGTGGCAAAGAAATTAACTTTATGTCCTGAATACAAAGTTATGTTTGGGGCAAATCCAACACAACACATCACTGAGTATCACGCTTCATATTTTCAAGCATGGTGATGGTTTCATTATGTTATTGGTATGCTTGTCATCGTCAAGCATACCAAAAAGAAACGGAATTGAGCTAAGCACAGGCAAAATCCTAGAAGAAAACCTGGTTCAGTCTGCTTTCCAACAGACACTGGGAGACAGATTCACCTTTCAGCAGGACAATAACCTAAAACACAAGGTCAAATATACATTGGAGTCGCTTACCAAGGTGAGCAGAGTGGCCGAGTTACAGTTTTGACTCAAATCGGCTTGGAAATCTATGGCAAGACTTGAAAATTGCTGTCTAGCAATGTTCAACAACCAACTTGACAGTGCTTGAAGAATTTTCAAAAGAAGAACGTACAAATATTGTACAATCCAGGTGTGCAAAGCTCTTAGAGACTTACCCAGAAAGACTCACAGCTGTAATTGCTGCCAAAGGTAATTCTAACATGTATTGACTCAGGGGTGTGAAAACCTATGTAAATTATATATTTCAGTATTTATTTTCAATACATTCGCAAACATTTCAAAAAACATGTTTTCACTTTGTCATTATGGGGTATTGTGTGTAAATGGGTGAGAAAACAATTGACATAATCCATTTTGAATTCAGGCTGTAACAACAAAATGTTAAGTCATATGTATGCATACAGAAAGTCTATAACATTTGCATGCCAAAGGGTATTTATTTCTAAAATCTGGAAAAAACCTCCATTGAAATTGTTGTTCCATTTTCACACTGAATTAAATGACCCATGACATATAGTAACTGGTGACTCGTGAACTCAGTCATGAAGACGAGTCTTGGCTTTGATGTAAAAGCCACTTATTTTCCTGTATGGTTCTATGGTAAAGACATGGATGGGGAAACCACTACAAAAACAAAATGACCTCTCTGGTCCCAAACACTGCCCAACACAGGCTCTAAAATATGCATGACCCTCTGTGTTAGCCAATGGAGTAGGAGTATCTAAATCTCTCACTCACACACACACACACTGCTCCAGGACACAGTGGAAACAGACACTCATCCGGAATGATCAATGTTTTGTTGATTAACTCGGCACCGGTCAGGAGACTGACCTACCTCTGTCTACACACGCAACCATGCATTCACACACTAGGGCTGCACGATATGGGCAAAAAATATAATTGTGATTTTTGTACCAAATATTGCGATTGCGATTTTACTTGCGATTATAAATCAAAACACTTGGGTAAACTGTTGGAATCATAGAAATAGAACGATCATTCTAATTTTATGGTTGGAATATAGTGGGCACTTGGAATGCAGTTTTGTTTGGCATGACAACGAATGAAAAAGTAAGGGTGGAGATGGTTGACAGACTAGTAACCAACGTGTTGGTCAGTGTTTCCCATGGGACCCTAATTAGATTTAAATAGATAGGTACAGTGCTTTCAGAAAGTATTCACACCCCTTGACTTTTTCCACATTGTGTTGTGTTACAAAGTGCGATTAAAATGAATGTAATTGTATTTTTTTTATCAACGATCTACACAACATACTCTAATGTAAAAGTGGAAGACATTTCTAACATTTGTACAAAAACAAAAAATCCATAAAATAATACAACAGTAATATATCTTGATTAGATAAGTATTCAACCGCCTGAGTCAATGGCAGCGATTACAGCTGTGAGTCTTTTTGGGTAAATCTCTAAGAGCTTTCCACAATTGGATTATGCTTTTTCGATTATTTTCAAAATTCTTCAAGCTCTGTCAAATTGGTTGTTGATCATTGCTAGACAACCATTTGCAGGTCATGCCACATATTTCCAAGTAGATTTAAGTCAAAACTGTAACTCGGCCACTCAGGGACATTCACTGTCTTCTTGGTAAGCAATTCCAGTGTAGATTTGGCCTTGTGTTTTAGGTTATTGTTCTGCTGAAAGGTGAATGAATCTCCAAGCTTCTGGTGGAAAGCAAACTGAACCAGGTTTTCTTCTAGGATTTTGCCTGTGCTTAGCTTCATTCTGTTTCTTTTTTATCTTGATAAACTCCCCAGTCCTTAACGATTACAAGCATACCCATAACATGATGCAGCCACCACTATTCTTGAAAATATGGAGAGTGGTACTCAGTAATGTGTTGTATTGGATTTGCCCAAAACATAACGCTTTGTATTCAAAACAAAAAGTTTGAATTGCTTTGCCACATTTTTTTACAGTATTTCTTTAGTGCCTTGATGCAAACAGCATGCATGTTTTAGAATGTTTTTACTCTGTACAGGCTTCCTTATTTTCACTCAGTCAATTAGGTTAGTATTGTGGAGTAACTACAATGTTGTTGATCCATCCTCAGTTTTCTCCTATCACAGCCATTCAATTCTGTAACTGTTTTAAAGTCACCATTGGCCTCATTGTTAAATCCCTGAGTGGTTTCCTTCCTCTCCGGCAACTGATTAAGGAAGGACACCTGTATCTGTGTAGTGACTGGGTGTATTGATACACCATCCAAAGAGTAATTCATAACTTCACCATGCTCAAAGGGATTTTCAATGTCTGCTTTTATTTTGTTTACCCATCTACCAATAGGTGCCCTTCTTTGCTAGGCATTGGAAAACCTCCCTGGTTTTTGTGGTTGAATCTGTGTTTGAAATTCACTGCTCAACTGAGGGACCTTACAGATAACTGTATGTGTGGGGTACAGAGATGAGGTAGTCATTCAAAAATCATGTTAAACACTATTATTGCACACAGAGTGAGTTCATGCAACTTATTATGTGACTTGTTAAGCAAAGTTTTACTCCTGAACTTATTTAGGCTTGCCATAACAAAGAGGTTGAATACTTATTGACTCAAGACATTTCAGCTTTTCGTTTGTAATAAAAATAAAAATAATTCTAAAAATATAATTCCACTTTAACATTATGGGATATTGTGTGTAGGCCAGTGAAACAAAATCTCAATTTAATCAATTTTAAATTCAGACGTGTGAATACTTTCTGAAGGCACTGTACATTCAGACAAAGATTTTAGAATATTCTTTGCCCTTTCCTCTCTGACTAAGAACAAGCTGCTGCACAAACAATGCTGATATACTCCACCACTGGTACCAGCCTGTATTAGAGCAAAGGTTTGCTAGCATGATTTGCCATATCTCAGTGGATTTAGATAGCTAGCTAGCGATTAGCATAAGGGGCTAACACACATTTTTTTATGCACATTTGCAGCTTGCTAAGACGAACTAACTTGCATTTTGCAGAGAGAAAGTTACACAAATTGTATTATATAGAAAACATTTGGATTTATATTAAGACGCAAAGTGGAAAGCTGTTTCGTTCTTGTTTGGACAAATCTGTTGACCGAATGCTGTTGTTTGGTCAATGCATGCAGAATGAATCTCGAGGAGGAACTGCCCACTTGAGTGACAGGGGGCGTGGCTTGGTGTGTGTGGGATTGGGAAGTGGACAAAAGAGGAGATGGTGAGTGAACTCCATCAACTCAAGCAATTAATCAAAAGCACAAAAAACGGGCGTTACAGACGGCTAGGTGGCGTTTCAAAATATTGCATCCTTTTGCGATATGGATATTGTACATGTCAATATCACAAGTTCGATAAACATCTCCTTAATCGTGCAGCCCTAAGGCACTCGCACACACCGTCCTCTCTGACCCTGGGATTTAGAGTCTGTCTTCTGAGGGCGTGGGAACTAACCTCCACAGTCTGAGTTGGACCAGGTAAAAACAACAACACGTTTTTATGTTTCAGTCAGTTGGCTTTTACAATGCTGTGAAATCCCAACTGATCTCTATTGACCACAGTTTGTTCATGCACATTCATTACTGGTTGGTGGCTATGTGAAAATAAGAAAAAGTATGCAATGCAGTCTCTCCTCGCCCATAGACCACATTCAAAACAAGTATTTAAACAATATTGAAATGTAAGTTTGCAGATTGCCCCTTTAAGCAATGCCATGGTACTGTATAAAACCAGACTGGTGTTATACAGGGCACAGATGGACTAGTAGCTATGAGAGAGCAGCTAGGCCCTGAAGTGACAGACAGTCAGTCACACCTCTGCTGCTCTACATGGTTCTCTGCTTCTCCCCAGTGTCCCTCAGCTCAGCTCAGAACAAAGAGCATGGGTTCTCAAACTTTTTGGGGCCGGGGAACCCTTTTGTGATAGCAAATTAATCAGGGACCCTCTCATAATCAGAACACAACTCGAGTGACAAACATAGCATAGGAGTTTTACTATAACTGCGGCAGTGCATGGCCGGATGAACCACTTCTCTGAACATTTTAAAGGCCCGCCTCTTGGCATCGGAGAGAAAATGTTGCAGTTTTCAAGCTAATTTCCTGCAATTCTACTAGAGATGAGTAATCGAGTACTCAACGGACGTCAAAACTCTATCTTTAACCATAGATTTAAAAAAAGAAATCTAATATTGTAAATATATTTGGTGTTGAAGACAACATTCATTTGCTTTGACTCTAGTGTTCCATTGTACATGTGCATTTGCAGGGAACAACAAAAAATAAATTTAATCAAATTTTATTGGTCCAAAAATGAAACCATGCCAAGCATCAAACAGTTCTTCTCCCTAAATTTCAGTTTAGGCTACTTTGCGGTTGTCACTAATTACCACAGCTACAAAGTCAGATTTGGTTATATAGTCAAAATTCGTGAAAACAAACATGAGCTTTTTGGTCTTAATTTAAGGTTAGGGTTATACATAATGTTAGCAGTGTGGTTAAAGTTAGTGTTAAAGGTTTAAAATCAGATTTTACGAAGATACATTTTAGAAATAGGAGATGTTTAAGACTTTATGGCTGTGGTAACTAGTGACGACCCTACTTTGCCAACTGCTAGTGCCATTTAGAATTTGTTACCAACCCTCCTGTAGGTTTTCGCTCCAACCCCAGTTGTAACTAACCTGGTTCAGCTTATAAATCAGCTAATTATTAGAATACGGTCTGCTAGATTAGGGTTGGAGTCAAAAAATACAGGACGGTAGCTTTCCAGGAACAGGGTTGGAGCCTTGGCCTAGGCTATAAAACCCCTAAACATAGCAAGGTTCCACACTGAAAATATGCAAAAAAAAATTGTTTGATAAAGACAGAGCGTATTTTCATCAAAATCATTAAGCCAAGGCCTACTCACCAAAAATATGTTGTGCCATAATTCATCCCCATGTAGTGTTCAATGTGGAATTTTTCATCCATTTTGAAAATTCCAAAGACCAGACAGAATAACTAAATCGAACGTCTGTATATCAAACAGAAGACAGATTTTGGCTTGGAACCATGAAAAACGTGTCTTTCAACTCGCCAAATTGAGCCCCGTTTCAAATTATCACTCTTTGAGAATAGCTGTTCCAGATGTGTATTACGTCGCACTATTCTGTTCTATTTTATTCTGCTATATTATTTCATGTTTTTTTTACTTGGAATAGGTGTGTCTTGACTGTGATAAGGGCTCAGGAAATAAAAGCTTAGTCTGCTAAATTAACAAAACAAGGCTATGCCATTGCACAGCCATAGTCTTCTACAAGCAAGCACCACTGATGAGGTTACTACCTTTTTGAAGATTGTGTTCCACGATATAATATAACCAGTTGATATTACGGTTTCAATAAATTAATCTTAAATGGCACTTGTTTTTTAATTGACAATATATATGGGTCAATTTAGCAATTAGTATTGGTTATCTGTAATGGTTATGATAAATTAGGAATTGTTGCGCACTGTTGGCATATAGATCAATGCACAGTTTTCCCTGTGTGGGCCTTGTGTTCTAAAAATAGCTCTTTTTTTTTTCATTGAAGTACTCAAAGAAATTCATGCGAGTACTCGAACAGTCAAGAAATGTCAAATACCCATCCCTAACACACACACACACACACTCACACTGATCTGACAGAATCCTATATCTGCGATGACAATGTGCAGACAGACACACATGCCGAACACACAAACACAAATCGATCAACAGCCACAGACGCATAGCTATCCTGCAACCCTGAGTACTATCCTCTCTGTAAACTCATCTCTCCAGTGTGAACGGCATCAGGCCCCATCTGTATCGGCTCCTATCTGTTCCAGAGATCTGGATGTAGTGTAGAACACACCTACTGGACCCACAGGAGGGACTGCGCTGACACATCACATCCCCCTACCCACCCGGAAATAACTGTTCCCCACAACCCACAGACTGACTGGCTGCCGTGCAAATCACACAGCTAAATGCTACCAACGTCCAACTGATGCAAATACACACTCTCTCCTCTCTCTCACACTCTGCTAGCATGACAGATGGAGCGGGAGAGCTTTTTCATTACACACACTGACTGAGTACTAGCACCAATACGGGAGTATGAGACAACATCATTCATCAACAGTTTCTTTGCCTCTCAAATGAAAAGCAGTAAAAAACATTTCTCCCGGCCGGAGCCTATTGGAGCAGAAGACTTCTTCAACCCTGTATTATTCACTTGGCAAATAGAGTTCTTGGCTTCAGCAATTTCCTATTGGATCAAAATGTGGCAATTGTGATTTACTAGAATATCATATGATTCTGTAGCAGAGGCAAACAAATTGCCATGATGAAGACTGTGCAACATTACAGTGTTTCTCTGTAGCTAAATAACCAAGCTGTAGCACTGAACTGGTGTAGCTAGCAACCACAATATAACTCTCCCTGAAACCCAACTTAACAGAACTTCACTTAACATACTTTTAACACTCGGTTCTACAACCAAACGACTACGTTAGTCTACAAACAAACATCTAGTCAAACACACGCCAGAAAGCGCTAAGGGGAAAGCAGAGAGCAGGGAGAGATCTTTCCTCTAGGGATCAGAGCTAGACAGTTTATCCTCTGGGGAGGTGGATGATCAGCGGCAAGGGCATCTCTCTCTCTCTCTCTCCCTCTCTATCCGTCTCCAGTACCAGTCGGAGGAAGCAGGTGTTCCCAGCGGGAGCGTAGAGCACAACCACGCTGCTCCTTAGTTCCTCCGAGTTGAGCCAGGGTCCTCCCAGGAGAGGCACCTCCAGCCTGGGTCGACCTCCACCCGGCCCTCCTGCTGCGCTCCCCTGGACCCGGCCCCCACCCTGGTCCACCTCCGTGTGGTGCAGCCATGGACCCCCTCGGGCCCCCGAACACCAGTCCCCCAACTGCAGGCAGTCCAAATTCATGGCTCATCTCATCTCTCTCGACCCGCTGACCGCTTCTTATCCATGGCTCAGCTCAGCTAAGCTAAGCTCGAGCCCTGTTTGGCTCAGCACTCTGTTTGTATGGCACCAGCACAGCACCCAGTAGCCAAGCCTGGCCCAGAGCAGCACAGGCTGGTTTGGTTGGGGTACAGCAGACAACCCAGCGAGCCCAAAGAGCAGCCCTATGGTCCTACAGTGCTATGCCTACTGAAGTCAGCCGACCTCCAATCCCATTAAGCCGGAGTGGCAGAACGGATTAGTCGGCCCAGGGGGAACTAAAAATAAACACAACTCACGCTTCCTCCTCCTGCTCGCAGAGTCCTGAGCGCGCACACCACACGCACCCACTTCCTGCGGAGAGCTGTCGACATGTCAATCGCCTCGCTACACGACACCAGCCGAGCGGGCGGCGGTCGGGATGGGAGTCAGGGCGCCAGGGTCTCCCATCCGTCCGCTCTCCCTCCCTCCACATTCTCCTCTCCCTCCCTACTCAGTCTCTCTCTCTCTCTCTCTCTCTCTCTCTCCCCTCCTTCCCAATTCGCCGGCTCCCTCCAGGTTTATGTAATCCTAATACAATGCTGCCCTACACACACACACACACAGTATAGGCACATAGGAAATCACACACATATCCATATGAATATCAGCACCTAGTAATGTGGTGAATATCAAACACACTTAATTGTGCAGTGTCAGATACCAATAGTCATGACGATAACAGTGACATGTCCACTAGTCCCCAGTCTAAAAACAGCAGCAGGAGAAAAGCACAGTATAATGAAATAAAGGGCAAGCTGACCCAAACCTCTACAGCTCCTCTCCTTTCATCTGATCCACACTGAGCTGACAGCTGAATAAAACATAATTACACTGTAACAGAGAGAAAGAGAGAGGGGGGAGAGAGAGCGCGGGAGCGCTAGAGAGAGAGAGAGAGACAGACTGGATCTAGTGGGATCTAGTTTGGAATCGGTTTAATTAATTAGTTGTGTCCACCATAGAACCAGAAGCTATCAGAGCCAACAGAGAATGGTTCGGGGCTGTGGGCACAATAGTATGAACTGGGTTTTAATTACATTCCTTTCTGATCCACACGGTACGAGACGATTAACGCTTACCAGGAATTAAATCTCACACACACACACACACACACACACACATACACGCACTGGTTAGAGATCAGCACATAGAAACCAGCACAGAGAGATCAGCACAGAGATCATGCACATGAGTGTGTGCATGCATACTGTGTGTGTGTGTGTGTGTGTGTGTGTGTCTGTCTGTGCGTACTGTGTGTGTGTGTCTGTCTGTGCATGCGTGTGTCTGTCTGTGCGTACTGTGTGTGTGTGTGTCTGTCTGTGTGTACTGTGTGTGTGTGTCTGTGCGTACTGTGTGTGTGTGTCTGTCTGTGCGTACTGTGTGTGTGTGTCTGTCTATGCGTACTGTGTGTGTGTGTGTCTGTCTGTGCGTACTGTGTGTGTGTGTCGGTCTGTGCGTACTGTGTGTGTGTGTGTGTCGGTCTGTGCGTACTGTGTGTGTGTGTGTGTGTGTCGGTCTGTGCGTACTGTGTGTGTGTCTGTCTATGCGTACTGTGTGTGTGTGTGTGTGTGTGTGTGTGTGTGTGTGCATTTGTTGATTTTGTGTTTTATTGTCTGGATCTCTAGACAGAATGTTAGGGGTGACCTGGAAAAACATTATCTGGGATTAAAGGGACATAACCACATTCGGACGGGACTAGTATTACTAGAGATGTTGGTTATGTAATTATTGCCCCAGCATGTGCTTTCCAGGAAATGATTTGCACGGGAATCGTTTTTCCAAACTGCCCCCTGTAATTCCTTTAATTTATTTTTTGATGATATTCAACATAATCTCTAGACAATAATAAGCTACACTGATAACTCGTGCTTGGCTACCAAATGTGTAGGTGTCTCCATAATATTTACATTGAGGAAGTGTGATCATAATCTTTATTTTAGCGACCCACGGTAGAAGTCCCTGCTAATGAAAATGCCCCCAATCCTGCTGATGTGAGCTGCTGAACAACGCGCTGCACTTGAGATGCGTTATGAGAAAATTAACTTGCCATTTCCAAAAAGTTTAGCTAAATGGGAAATTGGGGATGCCCTGCTTTGCGATCTATTGCCTACATTTAAAGCCGGAGTTTCATTAAAAGATGCACTATGCAGAAATCGCTCCGCCATTTCCTGGTTGCTCAAATTCTAATAGTTTGCTTAAAAACAAGCAAGTATAGTGTAGAGAATCATTGTACCACCTAAACCGCAGTTAAATATATTTTCCATAACCAAAATTATAGTTTTTTCAGCTGTTTGAAACTGGTGTACAAAACCAAAAGTAAAAGACGCAAAAACAAAACTTAAGACCGTGAAGCATAGAAATAGCGTACATAGAACATATCTACCGCTTGAGAATGACAGATCTATAACTTGCATTTCTTTGTGAATTTGGTAGGGTCGCCCAAAGTGTTACATATTGCAGCTTTAAATAGTCCTAAGCACAATACTTTTTTATTGCACATTTAATTAAACATTTAATTTCAATTCATAGGCACGTTTTGTGCAATATCAACTTTCACAGTGAATAATTTTGTTTATAGGCTTCGTTTTGAAGCCTATAGACAAAAGTATTTACTGTGAAAGTTGATACATTTAGGCCATTCATATGAAATATATGTGCAGCACTTCTTGTTTTCTTGCTCAAACTGTGCGCAGCACCTGTAAAAGTCTGTAATGTCTCGGAAAACACAGGGATTTCGTTACTCACAGGACCAGTATTGTCAGAGGAGCTTGGAGTTTGCCAAAAAACAGGTTATTCTGGCTGGAATTGTTACTCTCCTGCCATGTAAAAATTTCTGACATGGCAGATTCAGACGGGACTAAAAATTACGGATGTGGTGTTTTGTGCTCGTGGACATAATTACATTACCCAACCAGTAAAACTAATCCTGTCCGAATAGGCTTAAGGGCATCTGGGTTTGTGTGTGAGTGCGTGTCTTTGAGTTCTTCGTAGAGTTAAACCTTGATACTCAGAACCTCTAACTATGCAAGCCGGAGAAATAGTCTAGCTCTCTTTCTTTGAACCACCTTTTCTATTGTCTCCTAACCAAAATGCTCCATAAGACTCGCTTTAAGCATTCGTAGACTTGCTATAAGCAAGACCTGAACTAGACCTCTGTCATCAAGTTTATGAGTCACTTCTCCCATCTCTAAAATAGATGACATCATCATCAGTCTACAGTCAGTCAGGTGGCTTTAAATAATTGATACTGGAAACCATAAAGTGCATCATAAGACATCAGCCTGCTGCATCAGAAGATTTAGAACTCCCTCTTCTCTGCTGTTTGAAGAAAAGTTAGTCTCTGAAAGTCTGTCCTGAAAGTAACATCTAACAGTTCATTTATTTATTGTATTTAACTGGACAGTGTAATTCTCTTGCCAGAAATAGAACAGCTGTTAGTTGATGCGAAACTGAAACTAAAATATCTACAGTATAGGCCCATCTACTGTACTTTGCTCAGTGATTAGGATATTACATTCTCATACCAACAAAACCCTCGTCTATATTCCCCACCCATACATCTCTCTCTCTGTCCTCGTCTCGGCTGTCCTTCTCTCTCCTTTCCCTCCCTCCCTCTTTTTGACTCACATGTCACACAGGGGCTTCGCTTACAACACCCTTCACCCCACCTAGCCTAGAGTGACACAGTGGGTGTGTGTATGTGTGTGCCCGTGCCTGTGTGTGTGTGCCCGTACCCGTGTGTGCCTGTGTGGTCAGGACCAGTGAAGATCAGAGGGCTGTTGGACCTGGCTGTCTGCAGGTGGCCCTCACAGCTTCAGACAGTCTGCTCTCCGCTGTGTCAGACCACATCTCCGTCACACACACACACACACACTTTGCCTAGTCCAGCTAGTGTGCGCCCTCTGCAAAATACCATGGACATTTTTAGAAATATTTATTATATGACATGGGCTTAAAAATAAAGTTTAGCCATTAATTTAAGATCAGAAAAAAAAGAAAAAAGAAGAAGACAAATCAGAGGGGCCACATGCCCTTGTACCTCCTATGGCATGACACCACTGCTCATGGTTCTTATCATGGTTCTTACAGGCAAAGTGAAATGTTACAATGAATTTGCTCGTAGTGCATGCCTCTCAAAAGATATGTTACAACACGCTGAGTGCATCGAACATCAAACACCAATGTAAATGTAAAAACAGCACTCAAAGTAGATTTCTAAAAATTGCAGGTGCCTTTTCATTTTAAAACACCAGTGCTTTCTAGCGAGTGGCAGCGAAGCAAAACTTTAGTGGTCTAAACCACTCATCTTGAGGTGACGAGGGGAGGGTTGCAAAATGCTATCTGTTAATTATATCATACAGTGGGGAAAAAAAGTATTTAGTCAGCCACCAATTGTGCAAGTTCTCCCACTTAAAAAGATGAGAGAGGCCTGTAATCTTCATCATAGGTACACGTCAACTATGACAGACAAAATGAGAAGATAAAATCCAGAAAATCACATTGTAGGATTTTTAATGAATTGATTTGCAAATTATGGTGGAAAATAAGTATTTGGTCAATAACAAAAGTTTCTCAATACTTTGTTATATACCGTTTGTTGGCAATGACACAGGTCAAACGTTTTCTGTAAGTCTTCACAAGGTTTTCACACACTGTTGCTGGTATTTTGGCCCATTCCTCCATGCAGATCTCCTCTAGAGCAGTGATGTTTTGGGGCTGTCGCTGGGCAACACGGACTTTCAACTCCCTCCAAAGATGTTCTATGGGGTTGAGATCTGGAGACTGGCTAGGCCACTCCAGGACCTTGAAATGCTTCTTACGAAGCCACTCCTTCATTGCCCGGGCGGTGTGTTTGGGATCATTGTCATGCTGAAAGACCCAGCCACGTTTCATCTTCAATGCCCTTGCTGATGGAAGGAGGTTTTCACTCAAAATCTCACGATACATGGCCCCATTCATTCTTTCCTTTACACGGATCAGTCGTCCTGGTCCCTTTGCAGAAAAACAGCCCCAAAGCATGATGTTTCCACCCCCATGCTTCACAGTAGGTATGGTATTCTTTGGATGCAACTCAGCATTCTTTGTCCTCCAAACACGACGAGTTGAGTTTTTACCAAAAAGTTATATTTTGGTTTCATCTGACCATATGACATTCTCCCAATCCTCTTCTGGATCATCCAAATGCACTCTAGCAAACTTCAGACGGGCCTGGACATCTACTGGCTTAAGCAGGGGGACACGTCTGGCACTGCAGGATTTGAGTCCCTGGCGGCATAGTGTGTTACTGATGGTAGGCTTTGTTACTTTGGTCCCAGCTCTCTGCAGGTCATTCACT